TGTTTTGTTGAATAATCATTCGATCATAATCGGGATCAGTTTTTTTTATATAACATACTTTTCTTCTTCCACCAGTTCCATCTAAATAAAACCAAGCTTCATCTGTTGTAATGAACTTCTTATATCGACCACGTGCTAATCGAAGATAAAGTTGAAATGATCGCTGTCTACGTTTCATAATATTTGATGATGTTAACTTTTGAACTTTCTGTTTTTTTCGAAGAGTAAATCCAGAATTTTTGATAATGTTCGAGACAGTTGATTGGCTGATGTGAAGATCTTTAGCAATAGCACGTTGAGTTGGTGGATCTTCGACGTCAATCTTCTTAATGACCTTCTTAATAATATATGGTGTTTGTGATGGTTTTTTTCGAAAAATTTTAATTTTAGATTTAGAATTTCTTTGACGGCCGATCTTTCGTTTGACATTTGACACAGTACGTTGAGATACATATATACCATCAAGTTTCAAAATGTTCACAATTCGAGGCTGAGAATATCCTTGACGTAATAGTTGCAAAATACGTCCTTCGACAATGTCGGAAATTTTCTTACGTGGCATTTGAAATTAATTTAAACGAATTGAACTAAAGAGGAAGGCTATAACTGTCATCGAGAGGAAAGAAAAAAAAACGTTCAATACGTGATGCGCACGTGTTATCGCGAATACTATTAAGCATGATACAAGCAGTCTGTATATGAAAAATAAAACTATTAATAATCATGACAACAACCCTAAAAACTTTTTTCATACTTGTTTGAGATTCATCAAAATTTTGGGCTAGAGCCAGAGAAACTAACAAACAAATTATATGATTTGATAGAAGAGCTGATGCTCTATCCAACTGTGCTCAAATAAAAAAAAATTCGATGTATTGCATAAATACAGCAAACGACACAAAACTAGCAAAAATAACGTAATCAACATGTATATATGTATATGTAGATGTTTTTCTCAGATAGAGAGAGAATGTGTGTGTGAGGACATTTTTTCCCGATTTGAAATAAAATAAAAAAAGAGTCGAACATCAGATCCTCTCCTCTAATAGCGACATATTCAAATTTTCGATGGTTAAAAATGTTTTTTGTTTCAAACTTTTAGATTATTTAAAGTACTGTTTATCAATCATTTAATATGTCTGATATTGAACGTATGGAATCACCACCACTAACAACAACACAAACATCAAGACCAACATGTGGAGTGTAAGTTGATGTTAATCATTTTCCGAATGATAAAATTGTAAGATGAGCCACGATAAAACTGCTCTATACACATAGTGCGTAGTGTTCATGAACATAGAATATGCTTGATGAACTTCAGTACTCATATTGTTGTTACTTACATTGTTCAGAAATAGTGCCATAATGCTAACATATACTTCTACTCAGAAGTGAATAGACATTTCAAGTGTGTGTTTATTTGCTTAGACTACCTGATTGGATCAACATCGATCCGAAAAAATCATATCATGATGATCGACCACAAACGGAACTTCAATTTATTACATTTGCCCATTGTTCTCACATCGCCCAAACGGTAAGTACTGTTTTTGTTGTTGAATTATATATATATTGATAATTATACTGGAGTATTCTTCTAATGAGACTGTTGAATGAACCGACTATAACTCACTATGAATGTATGTTTCTCAGCTTGATGCACTTAGTACGATACTATTAATGTCTTGACAATAAAAATAGTAGAATATTGTCAAAACTAAAACATACATCACATTCACATATTTGAGACGGTTCTAAGTTAGAGCAACAAAATATTTTTTTTATCTATGCTTTTGAGAACAAATGAAGTGCTTCACGTTGTTACGAGATAAGTGTAATGTTTATTTTGATAAAATCTTTATAATTATAGAAATTAGAAATTACAGTTTGGTATGAATGGTCATTATTAAGATTGATACTTATCAATATAAGCTTCATTAGGTTGGTTGGTCGGTCCTCTTGTGGACTCTCTCTCAAATTGTCGTGTTAATCTAATAAAAAGGAAAAATGTGAAAAATGGAAGGTGAATGATATTATGAGCAGTTTGGCGATTCCCAAAAAGCTGAAACTGATTTCTTACAATTTCTTCGAAGCGGAACCGATAATAGATTTGAAACGGTTTAATCATTAGAGAAATACAAAAAAAATTGTAGTTCTCGAGATAATTGGAAAATAGTATGTCAAAAACGTAACACCGTTACGCTTGGACAACCCTATATATCTCAATCAATTGAAGAACTTTTAAGAATATCAAGTTTTTTTTCTTCAGAAATGCTTTGATTAATTATTTTTTGTTTCTTATTTAGTTTAATTATATGTTACGATCGGCTTAAGTGCAGTAATGAAGCACCAAATTTTACTACAGAGTGATGGTGGAGGAAGGTGTAAATATACGCTTCCCTTGTCGTATGTTACAAAGCTTTTGGAAATATAAAAAAGCTTTTTTAAATGGGGTGTGGGTATGGGTGAGATGCAAATGCGGGTGTCTCTTTTCTTAACTTATGCCCACATTCATACCTACTCATCCATACCCAAATCCACACTTCACCTACACCCATACCCACACCCACGATAAGTAGAATTTAAGTTCAGGTCGACTAAGTTGGAGTGGGTATGGAGTGTGGGCGCAGGTGTGAGTATGGATCTTTTATTGTCTCACACCACACCCACCCTTTCATTTAATATATATATATATTAATGATTTTATTTATGAAATAAAAATAATTCTCAATAATTATTTATTCATCGAGATAGGTTCACATATTTATTCAAAAGAGATACGTGTACCATGTTGTTTAATAGTTTCATTATTTTTAAAATAATTTGATTTTGTATTTGTTCGACTCCAAACTTCTACTTCATCATTGTCATCGTGATATTGTGAATTATCTATACCGTTAAAATCATGTCGTTCATTTCGTGGAATAAATACACGAACTTTTCGACGTCTAACAATACCAATAATGAGAATCATGGTGATAATAAATAAGAAACCAGTTACTGTGATAAATTTCATTTTATTAGAAGATATATCAAATTTGGTTTTTTTATGTTTACGATGATATTGACTGGTAGAATTAACATCATAAATAGAAGTATCACTACTTGTTGTAGATATACTATTAGTTGTTTGAACTATAGTTGTATGTTTAAATTCATCTAATGCTTTAGCAGAATTTTTCCATGTAAAAATATATGGATATTCTTTTGTTGGACATTTTAATGATTCACCTATGTGCCATGACGATTTTTTACCACCAACAGGTTCAAGCATATTATTCCAAAGTGAAAGTGCAGCTAATGAATGACCTTTACCTAAAAAGTTTTTAATAAAAACTAATCTTTTACTTTTAGACAAAAAAAGACCTAAACTTACCACTAAAATGAAAACAATCTGGTGCAAAATAACTAAAATCAATTTTATGATTATCTTTATATGGTAGTTTAGTTTTAACCATAAATGGTTGAATAACTACAGTAAAATCATCACGATCTTCATATCGTCCAGAACCAATGAAATCAAAAAGTAATTGATGATAACGTATTATATAATCTTCTAATGTTTTAGCTTGTTCAGCTGTTGGAAAAGCAGCACATGGACATGTTTTTTTATAAAGTATTTGACAAATATAATTACCATTACTAAGATCTTTAACATTACGAACATTAAGTACAGGAACAAGATTTATAAGTGTACGTGGTATTGAAGCATTATATAATTTATTCAATGTATCACGAATATTATGCATATATTGTTCTGGTGTATGTTTAGTTGAATTTGAATCTTCGCAAAAACTGCATAAATCATTACTCTAAAATATTTCTTTGACATTAAAAATAAACAGATTTTTTAGTTTGACTTACACCAACAAATAATGTAATAACTTTCCAATCCTTATCCCAATCACATAATTTGTCATGTTTTAACCGATTAATAAGAAGTTCTGCTTGATACACCATTTGACTTGAACTATCCCATGATTTAGCTACAAACAAAAAAAAAACTGTGAAAAGATTTTCTTTTTAAAATCTACTTTCACTGACCAACATTGAGTCCATTGTTTGTACCATTTTGACTATTAGGAAACATTAACGATACTTTTGTAGAATAACCTTCAAGTTTTGGATTGTATTGTCGTAAAATATTAGGTAAAGATAACATTTTTGAATATGTATAATCACCACCAATAGACCAAGATATACCTAAAAAATAAATTTTTTAACGAAATAAATAATATCTTGGATCGACTAACCTCTATTTTCCATTAATAAACCAATTGGAGTAATAGCATGAGCAGCAATACCAGTTGTTAAACTATCACCCATAGCAGCAATACATTTTACATCACTTGGTCGAAGAGTATGTACTGATGTAGGAATACTAATATTTTCATTAGATTTGTCTATTGGACATGGAAATTTTCCATGAGAATTACCATAGATATAATCAGATTGAGAAAAAAGTTCTGATGACCATTTGGTATATTCATCAAGAAATTTTTCATCATAACTAAGTTCTTCAATATAAGCTGCATAATTTTCAACGTCAAGAGCAAAATTCTTGCCGAATAAAAATGTATATAAAATGAAGGTAGTAAAGATAAATTTCATTATTGTCGTTGTTAAAAAATGGCAAACTGCTTGCTGATGTGTTCGAAGGCAACAAAAATATACTTTTTTAAAAATATGATAATAGGTGAAGATAAGAAAACTGGCTCAACGAGAGTTACGCAATATGAAAAAAAAGAAAAGAATCTACGACAAGACGGGAGATAACGAATTACGAAGTAATGCAAAAAAAAACTATCAAGTATAAGTCATCTGTTAGGTTTTTGTAAAAATAATGGAAAAATTGAGATTCTTTTGATAAATCGAGCCAGGTATCCAGGCCAAAAAAATCAGATATAAGATCTTGTAGATCAGACGAAACCGTATGAAGAATCGCAGTCTCAGAGATCTTACATCACAATCGTACTATAAGATTTCAGAGACGATGATTTTTCGTACGATCGTCATACGATTTCGTCTGGTCTGCAAGAATCTTACGTCTAATTTTTTTGACCTAGGAACGTGTGATTTGAGATATAAGATATACGATAGCATCATATTGTAAGAACCATATCAAATCTTACAGTAAGTTAATAAAGTGTGAATATTACAATATTCAATTACTTGTAAGATCATATACGATCTTTGCAAGATTTTTCCATCTTAATCGATACAGTGAATATTTCTGTACTTTTTAAAATTATTTGATCGAAAACTTCAGTCGTGTTCAACTCTCGTCAGTGCAATATTGTTAATCTTCAGTTTTGTTTTGGATATCGAATCAGTGAAAATCGTCTCGAAATATGAGAAACGATGTTCATCATTCTACATACAGTGAAACCATTACTAATGAGCGTCTCCTAATTATGAACGATCTCAAGTCTGACGGAACAATTTTTGCTAGAAATGATTCTGTCTAATCTGAATACTTTTTTGTGATTCTTCTTTCTATTCTTTAAAGTGAACACATGTGTAATAGTTTGTTGAATCTCTTTCTACTGTCTATTCCGTGTTTTTTATGCACTACGAATAAGTACATTTTATGTATGAGAGTTATTGATATGGATAAAGATATACCTGCATTCAATGAATGATTGAATAATTATGAACGCCTTTTAGCCCCGAATACTAATAAATAAGAAGGTGATGATGATTGTATCTCAATAGAATCGCCATCAAAAATAATGAAAGTAGTGGAAATGATATAAAAAGCCCATTTATTAGCCAGAACACAGCAATTAAAATAACATCAATTAATTAATTAATTAGAGTTTGGATTAACTGGTGTTTATCCTTTAGATGAGCAAGAAAGATGCATGAACTCTCTAAGTTGAGCATCTCTGTATAGTGAACACTTTTAAATGGTCCCGGCAATGTTCACATTAGAGAAATTTTACTGAATATTTCATGATGTTTTAGTTAACTATTATCATAAATGATTAGACATGATCTCAGATTGATTAAGTAAAAATTACATTCGAAGAAAAAAGTAACGAAGAATCGAATATTTAGTCAAATTGCGATTCATTTAAGGTTTCATGCAAATCATTTCGTTGAAATCATTCAATGATTATATTTGCTCTCTGTATTTGGTCACATGTGCGTTTATTATTGATTGATCGGAAGAAAAAAAATGTCTAAAGTAAAAGCATTTCAGCAAGAACTTCAATCAATATTATTTACCTTCAATGCTAAAAATAGTTTTATTTCTTCTTTAGCTTTCTTCATCATAGACTTGACTGATAAGTTTGCTTTTTCACCAACATTTCTTCCATTTTCAAAGCAATTTCACATTTAAGAAGCAACGTACACGAAGGCAATAATGTCATATGACCAAGAAGCTGCCGATGCATTACCGTCAAGCTTTGATATTGGTGGTTTATCAAATGCACTTATGAATCCTGCCCAAGCTTTTAATATGTTAGATCAGAATGGTGATGGACGTGTAACAGAAGTAGATTTAAAATTATTATTAGAACAATTTGGTATTAAAGGCATGAGTGCTAAAGTATTGGCAAAATTTATTTTTAAAAAATTGGATGCTGATCATAGTGGATCAATAGAACCCAGCGATCTTACACATGCTAATGGCATTCTCTCAGCCTTATTGAAAATGAAACAAAACAAATGATGGTTTTTTTGAAATAACGGATGTTTGAAGAAAAAATGAACTTCTTTTCTCTATGTTAATCATATCTCTTTTAATATTTGTTGATCCAAACTCAATCGTTTGTTTTTCAAAAATTTGATCTTTTAATTCTCTACAAAATACTAATATTTTTTTTAATGCAAATAACATTCATTATTTTTCAGGATATGCTGCCAGTAAACAGACAAAGATAAAAAAAATTTCTAAAATTACTTTTTTCTTGAATATTTTGTTTAAACTGAATACTTCAGGATTTAAATTTGAACTATTCGATAGATTATGTTCGTCATCGATGATAGAAAGGAAATTAGCTTGACATCATTATTCTGTTAATTCATGCATAAGATTTTGTTCAATTTTCCGAAAATTCCAGTTCTTTAGGTATTTCTAACGGAGAAATATATCAATGATATCGCACTTCATGAATTTTTTAACTTGACTTTTGCGATATTTGTATTCTTTAATTGGTCGTGGCATAAAACAACTCAAAGTCACTTTAATTGTATCACTAATCGATAACTTGACTTTGAATTCATTCTTTATTTTTCTGATTGATCAATCAAAATCCTTTTTAATCTCAATGTTTCAACAAGATTCTAATCTGAAATTCAATCTAACAACATTCTTGTTTGATTGATCAAGAACATAAGAATTTGAAAGTATGAATTTCATGTCAATATTCAATAAGTAAACACATTAGATAAAAAAAGATGTATTTGTTGACCCATTAGTGAGTCAAAGTATACTGAATTTTGCAGTTTCGTAAAACAGATGATTTGACGACAGATCAATTATTATCCATTTCAAGTGATGAATATAAGAAAAACGAATTATAATAAAACGTATAGTTTTCATAGAAAGAAATTTGAAACTAGATGTAATTTAGTTGTAGTTATTTTGTTAAAAGTTAAAAATAAAATAGGACAGCATCAAAGAAAAGAATCTTGACTGATGATCAAGAAAATCAAGAATCTGGAAAGAATAAGTCCAAGAGTATTAATTAGTCTTCTTTGTTTTTATGATCGTTTCGGATGTGAGAGACTTGTCTTCACCCACAAACAAGTATTTCATGGCTAATTCTACCAGGACTCACTTTCGAACTAGTGACGAAGTCCGAACACTAGCTCCTTTCTTGTTCTGAAAAGTATAGTGATGGCATGTCTTAATCTTTTATTAGAAAAAAAACAAAACAAAAAAAAAATTAAAACATTTGCTATACACCAAAACCTGTTAATCCAACACGAGATGTCCGTGGTTCGAGTTTTAATGAAAGAATATAACATTGATCTTCAGTTAATAGACGTGATCGATCTAATAAATAAGCACATACACGTGGATTATGTTTTATTTTAAATGGTGTAGATTGAAAACGATGTACTTCATTTATAATATGTGTTTTCTATAAAAAAAAAAAAAAAAAACAATAAAATCAATGAACTATATTTTAATATTCTTTACCATTCGCATTTTCGAAAAATTGATTAAATTTTCTGATATATCAGATGAACTTTCTTCAATAAATGTTAAATCAGATAAATATAAACCAAGATATGGCACACATGGTGGATCAACTCTATTGAAAATAAAAATTTTAATTTCATGAATTTGACTAACGATTTTCTTTTTTTACTTTGTTAATGTATCACGTAAGTTTTTAAATTTCCCATCGGAATGAACAAGATTTTGAAGTTTATTTATAACTTGTTTATTTTGTTTTGATATACGATCCCATGTTTGTTTTAAACGATAAACAGAACTATTTACAAAAGCAGCCATTATTTGAAGAACACCATTAAAATTTCGTAAATATCGACATATATCAGCAACAGTACCTAAAAACAAATATATTTTGAAAAACAAAAGAATCAAAAATGAATTTTGTTCAGTGAGTATTTTCGATCAATTATCTACTACAATTTAAACTGTATGTTGACTAAGGTGTGGGTGTCTTCTGTCAGTTATTTCCGTAGTATCTTTTACTCAAAATGTTTTACTGCAATCCAAACGACACAAATATTCATTCTCTTAAAAACATACACCATTTTTCAATACATTGGACACGAGCATTAACAGTTGGTATTAATAATATTTCTGTAATAACAAGTCGACACATCTATGAAAAAACAAAATATGAATAAAAAGAATTCATATAAAACTTTGATTAGTTGTTTTACTTCATTAAATCGTCTAGATACAAGAGCTACATTTGGTGCTAAATCATCACGACCAGGTTTCATCCAACCTTGTAAAAGTAATTCTCTAAAGACAAAAAAATAAATATTTCGAATGAAATAAATTCGAAGTTTTTTTTTGTTTTTTTAGTTTACTCGCTGCCTAATGCACAAAAAAGTTTATGATCAATTAATGTCATTTGTTCAGCAACATCAGAAACAGCTATTTGTTCGAATGTTGTATTTGAAACCTGAATATAAATAAATAATTTTGAATAAATAAATATTGAATTTTTTTCTTTATTATACTTGTGTTGGATTAAGAAGTATACGTAATTGTTCATTTTTTTCATCTATTTCAGCTGTTTCTAATTGTTTTATAATTGCAACAGCTGCTTTATGTTCACCAGCAATTAAATGATTATTGAATAACATATCTTGCAATAGTTCAAGAACCATCTATTATTACAAAGAAAACATTATTCTATGACATAGATTTAAAAAATTTATCATCTTACTTCTTTTAGTTTAGGATTAGTATGAAAATCCTAGAATTGAAATAAAGAAATGTAAAACAAGATCATGAACTCAATAGAAATTATGTTTGTTTGATTTGTATCTGTGGATTCTCAATACTACAGATACATAAATTTTGAATTGAAGTTTCAGGAATTAGTAAATTCACACTGAAAGACAACCTATTTTCAATATTCATAACTATAAATTTCCATCAACGATTTCTGTCAGAAGAAATCTAATGATAACTTCGGATGGAAGCAATCAAAACTGAGTAGAACTGTTATTTAAATGAATTGGCAGAACAAAGAATTCTGAATACTAAAAAAAACTCATGTTTGAAACTATGTTTTAGGAATTGATGCATCTCTAACTGTGTTCGTGCAATAGAAAAATAACGAGTTTTGACATAGTCCTTAATTTACGTAATTTATGTCTTCGAACATCTTCAACTTAACACTATTGTTGAAATACATAGTTTCGATCGTTATACACAGTAGTACAGTTTTGACTCTCACCACATTAACTAACGAAAGAATATACCCAACTGTCGGATGCGGTTCGACTTCACATTACGACTACGACTAAGTCTCGGTGAGATTAAGAAAAGTTTAAAAGGATTCGAGTCCACAACCTACTATTGAAAAGTTATAGCCATTTTAATGGAATTTTTACTGAGAGCACGGCATTTCTGAACAATGTTACGTGGCTATAGACAAAATTTCAGTTCGAAACTCTGTTGTGGATTTTTCGAAAATGTTATATTCTCAGTAAAAATTTCATTAAAACGGACATAACTCTTCAATAGAAGGGCATGAGCGCGAATTCTTTTCAACTCTTTCTTAGTCTGACCGAGATCTACTCGTAGCTATCATGCAAAGTCAAATGGCGTTTGACAGTTGGATACATCTTTTCATAAGATCATCTGGAATCGGTCTACATGGTCACTAAATTTTCAGATTAGATATTGCAAAAGTCACTCTATATTAAAGCAAATATTATTGTTTATTCGGTCTATTAACACAAATCAAAAAAGCAATTGTGCTTTTTATCATATCGAATACTACTTAAATTATTCGTATGACATATCATACGTACTAATGGATGCTTTGTAAGCCAATGTCGAAGAACATTAAGAACACGCATTGTTGAAGCTGTATTAACAATAATATATTCATTTGCTCTTTGTTCTCTAGCACTTAATGGCATAGCACTATTACTAGTTGTTGCTGGTTGAATTGACATTGAACCACCACCTGTTTTTATTATAAATAGTTTTAAAAAAGAATATTGAGAAAACAAAACAATAAAGGCTATTTTAAAAAAAAAACAACTATACCCGGATTACTTGCTAATCGCTCATTTCTTATACTTTTTGGTGATTCACCTGATGTAGCAACAGCAAATGCTTGTGTTGCTGCAGCTGAACTTATTCGACGACGAGATGATCGTGATGATGTAACAACAACACCAGGTAAAACTTTTTTAAATGAACTTTCACCTGCATTACGTATACTTTGACGTGGTGATGCAAGAACTTCACTTAGACGTTTTGCTACAAAATAGAATATGATAAATGAAAAAGATAATTTAGTTTTTTTTTTCTTCATGACATACAAAGCCATAGAACATTTTGTGTTGTAGTAGTTGGTTGTACATCAAGTTGTAATCGTTGTTTTTGTGTTGGTGGACTATCACTTGCTTCAAAACGAAGAGATTTTCTTTCCCCCTATAGATTATTTTTATATTTAAAATACAAGAAATTTTTAAAAGATTAATAAATATGATACTTTAGTTGTATTGTTTATATTAGGATTTTCTGAATATCGTATTCGACAACGATTTTCTGATTTACGTACAATATCAGTTTGAGAATCATTGGTTATATTAACTGATGGAAAATCAAAAAGTATTTCTAATGAATTAAAATCATTATCTTGTATTATTTGATTAGAATTTTTATCTATATTAATCGATATTCCATTATTTGATGATAAATGTGTTTGTTGTTCATCACGACATATTGATACAACATCAGAAAATGTTTCTGATGATGCAAGTGGAGCTTGAGTACTATGTAATCTATCGATTGATGCTGTAATATCCATGGATGAACTTGTTGGTAAACCAACACATCTTTCAATAGTTTTTATTGATAATTCTAAATGATAAAATATTGAAATTAAAAAAAAATAGATCAATTTATACTTTACTAGAAATCATTCTATTGAAAATATATAACTTCTATTCAAAGAGTATTCTCAACTACATTGTACAATATTTAAATAACAATATTGAAAATCCTCTATAAGGACTTTGATTTGAACATAAAACTTTGGATGGCTTTTTTTCATCTTTATAACCGAGTAAGGCTTTATTATTCTTAGTTTTTTCTTTTACAATGAACTAACATGTCTTTTCGTCAATGGTTTTAGTCTTAAATCTGGGACTAATAAGGAAACTTTTCCAGGTGCTAAAAAGCTTTTGAGCTCAAATTTTGCTCATAGGCTGGGGATGTATAGAGCAGAAAAACCTTAGGAGGATATAGGTTCAAGCTACAACTTAACGGAGATATCGACTTTTTCGGTAAAATCAAAGTTTTGATCTGAAACTTTTACATACATTAAGGTCTCAATCAAATGAACTTGCCTAAAAAGTTTCAGAATTTCTGGATGAATTATCTCCGAAATATGAGTTTTCGAAAATTATTTGTGCATAATACAATATCTACAAAAAACCGTCTATAAGCTAATGTACTGGTATTTCGGAGATAATTTATCCAGAAATTCTGAAACTTTGTAGACAAGTTCGTCTGATTAAAACATCGATGTATGCAAAAGTATCAGATCAAAACTTTGATTTTATTGGAAAAGTGGAGTCCTATAGGAAGATTGTAGTAAATAATCGACATCTCAGCTAAATGATAACTTATGCCGATATTTTCCTAAGATTTTTCTAGTCTATACATTCCCTGCCTATAGGCAAAATTTGAGCTCAAAAGCTTTTTAGCACTCGGAGATGTTCATGCTTATGTTTTTCAATCCTGTGAAGTATATCAAATAAGCTTCACGATTGCAAAAATATTTATTGCAAAATAATATTTAGTCTGATGATTTTTTAAAAGTAATTGAGTAACAACAAAGATAATTATACTTGATTTTCTACTGATTTCAATTGAAGATATTTATTTTTGAAGTAATAACTTACTTTTTTCGTTAATTCTTGCTGTTGTTAGTGCTTCATTTTGATCGATACCTATGAGCAAAAAAATAATTTTTGTTTTTAATTATATAATATATTGATTTTTATCTTTACTTAATGCTCGATGAAATGTACCAATATGTGAATGTCTTCTTAAATCTCGTTCTTGTTCAATTGTAGAATTAATTGTTAAAAATTTAGCACCTATAAATAAATCAATTAATTAATTAATTAAACTTTTCCTTTTTATTTCTGAGCTCAACCTTCTGATACACGTCGAGTAAATTCATTATCATGTTCATTGGTTAGATATGGCTTTTTTTCTCTGAATAAAATTTCAAAAAACAAAAATGTTTTCATGTAAAAATCAATGAATTTAATTTTACTTTTGTTGTCGTTCGTCAGTTTTTGGTATTGTATTTACATTAGTTCCATCGATTTCAATCGTTTGATCAAGTGACGTATGTGGTGATGATTTATAAACTCGAATTAATGTTTCCATAACTGTATAAGCATCTGTATATAAACGATAAGTTAAAAGAAATGTATTGAGAAAATCAATTGATAAAAAACGTAAATCTGTTAAACGTTCGAGTAAACGTTCAACAGTTGCATGTCGAATCTAAGAAAATAAAATATTATTTTTTACATAAAGCAAAACAAAAAACAGTTGTTTTTTTTTATAATGTATTTTACTTGTGGTATTTTACATGAATCAAGTGTTTTAGAATATTTAATTTCAGCATCATCTTTATATAATTTAACATCAGATCTATAAGAAAAACAAGACATTGAAAAATAATTAAAATTTTTTTTTAGCTTTTTTACTTGACAGATTCTGGTGCAATAACTGATGATGCATTACGAAATGTTCCTGTAACTAATTGAGTATAACGAAGATTTTGCAAACATTGTGCTATATCTGTACACCATTCTGATTTATGTTTTTCATCATTAGCAACAAATGTTGCTGAATATGGTGTTTGATCAGGTGATTCAACAATTAAACGAAATAAACGAATTATATGAAAATCTAATTCAGTAGTTGTGTCTTCTGATATATCAGAATTTGTATTATCAATACTATCTTCTTCTGTGACTGATGCAAGTAAATATTGAGGATCTGTTGTTATATCTTCAACAAGTGTAACGTCAGCTAATGAAATAACACCACAACCCTTTAAGAACAAAATGAAATATTCTTCAAAGATAACGTATATATATATATAACCTATAAGATGAAAATCTTGGCACGAAATTTTTGTCCACTTAAAGACAACTGGTTAGAGCGTCAGAAGCAGTTAGTTAGAATCAGAAAGTTGTGGGTGGTGCCCAACTTTATGGCATACGGGAGAACTTTTCCTCTAGGTGTCAAATCGCTTTTCGATCGAGACGATATTCATTTGATGAGTACTAGAGAGTAATAGAAAAATCTAGAATGATATGATTTTCCTGGCCTTCATTCTCGAGATATTGAAATTTTACTGAGATTTTTCAACACAAAAGTTGTGCTCAGATGGAAAATCGACTGTCAACTTCAAACCTTACACGAACAAAGCTCTTAATGAGATTAGTTAATTGTGCAAGTTTTAGGTTTTCTACAGGATTTTCTTTCTTAAGATGTAAATATATAGATAAAATTTGCTTTTACACATGAGAGAATTTCGAATATTGACATATCTCAGGATAGAAGATACTAGAAAAGTTATAACTTGCTCAATAAAACAATCTCATTGCGAGCTTTCTTCATGCAAAGTTTGAGGTCAAAACTCTAAAGTTACCGCGGATTTTTGTTGAAAAACCACTAAAATCTCGATATCTGAAGAATGAAGCGTCGAAAAACCAAACTACTCTAGGCTTTTCTATTACTCACTAGTAATCATCAAATGAACATCATTTCGGTCGAAAAGTTATTTAATATCCAGAGAGCTTCCCTCGTCAATTTTCTAGAGCAAAGTTTGCTCTACAAAGTGTACTATTCACTGTTGCATGATAGACAACAATTTTTTTACTAATGCTGATTTCAATAGAAACTAGCTCCTTACTAGAAAGAGCTTTCACTTATTTTAATAATTCATTTTTGTACAAACTACAACAGAGGTGTCTATTGGCTGAGTTGATATTATGATGGGGACGCATGGATTGAATCTTGAATAAAATAGAAAATTTTCAAAAGATGTTACGTATTTCCACTAAACTTTTTGTAACTTCACTTACAAAACTTTCTTTATATTCAATAAAATATCCTTGCTTAACTCTCCTCGTTCATCGCCAATTACTTTTTTGTAATTCTAATTCTATTCCTACTAAATCTTTTCAATCAGCCAGTTTTGTTAATTTCTTTTTTTTATTCAAGTACCGGTGACAGTGCATCATCATATACAAAACAGTATACATTCGAACGGACCAAATTTCTTTTGAAAACAACAATTATCGACATATGTTGTTATTAAAATATGAAAAAGCAAGTACACCTTTTGTTGGAGAAATTTTTGGTTTACCAACTAAAACAATCCGAAAATACTGGTGGATTTAAGAGAACTGAAGATTTTACAAATTGTCAAATATTTTACCAAACATTTGTTTATACATCAACTACTGATACTCGAAATCTACTTGCTCATTTATATGTTAAAAGTTTATCCAATGTAATTAGATGAGTGGCACGGCTAAGTCATTTTTAAAGAAAGAACCATGGGCTGGTTTTCTTCGCAGTAGTTCAGCTCAATGAGACCTCTGCTCTACAATAATGATGTATTGAAGCTTTTCTAAGGCACAAACCACGTAAACTAAGAACTGCACTAAAATCGTTATTTAACTTTGTACAGATATAATTTTGAACTTTTTTTCGTAAAATTTACTTATATTTGTTTAATGTTACCTCGGAAAGAAATTCTGAAGACATATATTCGGAAACAGTGAAAAATTCTGATTCTAACCAGATGTCTTTTAATAAATGAAAAATGAGTAAATATATTGTGCCAAGACTTTTACACTATACATTATATGTAAAATACTTTAACAAGATGTAATTTTCCACTTGATGCTCGAGTAGTTATAACAAGATGATTAGAAAAAAGATAACACTGTACAACAATTTCATGCCGACGAAGATCTCGTATTGCAAATCGTTGTCCGAGACTTAATTTGTTTCGATCACCGATCCATAATATAAGACTATCTGTAAACAAAAAAAAGAATATCTGATCAAATTTTTAAATTACTAAATATTAAACTATGGTATTTTCTATACAAACAAAGCGACTGTCGAATTTATACAATAATATATATTTCAATGGAATAGTATTGACTTAAAGTGATTTGTTCAATAGATCTTTCTATTAGTAGTAACATAGTTATTTCGTTCTTCTTTGATTTTAATCGTACAGAAATAGTATGAACAGTATTTTACCTTGTCGACAAAGTACTTGATTACCATCCAATAAAACATCACATCCTTCTGCAATTGATCGTTCAATAGCTAAATTTGTTCGAATATGTTCTGTTTCTGATACTTCATCATGCATAATCTATTTAATAAAAAAAACAAAATAAAACTTGAAAAATCTTGATTTTTTATTCATTAAAATTTCACTTTTGAAAGTTCTTCAAGTTTTGATTTAGTTTGTTCTAATTTTTCTCTTTCAACATGTGCATGTGGTGTATGTGATAAACAATTTGCAAGTGTTACTATATAATAAGGAATCTAACGAAATAAAATAAAAAAAATCAAAGAAATAGTAAAATTATTTTTTTCACATAATAACAAACTCGATTCATTGGTAATACTAAAAGTATATCCAATGTTAATCCTTCACATGCTGCTTTCATTTCACATCGTTCAAGAAATTTATTAAAACCTGGATTACTTAATTTACATTCAACTAAACACTAAAAATAAGAATTTTTTTTTTTCGATAAAAAAAAATAAATGAATAAGAAAAATTTCTACTTGTAAACTATAATGATGATTTCGAACATATTCCAAATAAATATGTAACATTGAAATCAACATATCAAATAGATCACCTTGAAAAAAAAACCAAATAAAATTTATATAAGAATGTTAGTATTTAATTGATTCTACCGGTATAAAATGTTGGCCAATTTTCTAGTTTTTTTGATAATCCTTTATAAAAAATTTGATGAAGAAATAGAATAATTTCACTAATAATAAAGCAAGAAGATTTGTTGTATTGAAAAATAAATTAAATAACAAAAGAAAAAAAATAAATATCACATACGTATTAAGAAAAATTGAATTAACATCTTCATGTGTAATGGGAGGTTTTTTTGAGCTTGCAGCTAAAAATAAGCGTGTCATTGTTTTCTTTATTTATTATGAAGACAAGCAGAAGAAAAAAAAAAATCTTTTACCCATTCGAAATGGTCGTACATAATTAGCAATAAGAATTTCCAATTGATGAACATATTCTCGTTCACTTTCAACCAAATTAAATACTATATTATTACGTCTACGAATCAACTCAGCATGTGGAGAACTAAAACAAAACAAAAAAAGTATCGTTTTTATTTTTTCATTTTGTCAAATTAATTCTCCTAATGACTTTATAAAGGTTACAGTAACTCGTAGATTTTTTTTTTGATGATTTTCTATTTTGTACAAATCATGGATTTCAATGAAAAAAAAACAGATTGCAAATGTAAATTAGATTTTTATATTTTACGTTCAAAATAGAATTTCTATTTATTTGACCTACATATAATAAATTAAAATAAAATTTAATTAAGAGTGTACCCAAGGCGTCAAAAAATTAAAAAATAAATTCATGACTTTTGTGAATTTTATGTCAAAAAAACAAAAAGAGGCGTTTCTAATGATGAAATGGACAACAATTTGATGTTTTTCAAATTTATTGATGAAAAGCAATATTTTAATCAAGCAAATGCAATGAAATTGATGAAAATGTCTATTTTAACTGATGAATTTAAAATACATCAAGTTTTTTGTTTGTTTCATCATTTTAATGCAAATTTTTTGTATTTTTTAACTTCCTGAGTATGCTTATAAAAATTAAAACGAATATTTAAAAATGATTTGATGTCATGCCTCAAAAATATTAAATATACAATAAACAACAATATTATAACAACATTGAATTATTATTTCGAAAAAGTCGAATTCTATCCCTTATTAATCTTACTATCATTAACAAAAGATCAATTTTAATCCTTTGATTCCTGGCTTTTCTACGAAACTCGAAATTTTTGATAAGAAAGTATTTTGCTATTTCTCAAGCCTCTTTAGCACCAACGCTATTTTTTTGTCAGAAACTGCACCTATTTAAGTGCTATCAATAGCTATAAATATCGTATTTGAAATCGGAGGGACCGCGGATAAACTCGCACATCTTTGTTAAAGTATCTGTACTCGAAGCTTTGATAAATAATGAAGTACACAAATTACAGACAACCGCAGACTCTCTAGTCCAGTTTAATATGTAATCATGCATATTCGGATGCGGTACGCCAAATGCTACGAATCCGACTGTTTGAAGTTCTAATATCATCGAAAACCAAGCTTTCCAAAGTTGTCTAAATGCAATTTTTTTAAGATGTAAGGTCGGCTTAACCCTTCAATATCTCCATGGAGAAAAACGCTAAATGCTATCGTGATCAGCTCGTCGAGGTCCACAATCTGGTCTATATCCGATTCAAAATAGAGAGTGACACTTGGGGGTCCTTCCCTCGAGCACATATATATCTGTCGCCGGGAGCCAAAAGGTTAATTAAAAGATTCAATCATTTTTTGACAATAATTTTGAATACTGTATATTAATACTCGTAGTTTATAATTTCGTGTTTGCTTTAAATAACAAAAAGTAATTGCTGCTTGAGTTATTTCTCATTCAAATACTAATTGAAGTAATATTTTGTGTTTATTTCATGTAGAAATCTCATTATAGAAAAAAAGAACTACAAAAGCTAATGGCATTAGAAGAATACTTCAAAAAAAAATGAATAAATACAATTACATGATGATTTTTGACATTTCATCAAAAATAACTCCCTTTGGAATATGGTCCATTGTAACTTAAGTGAACTTTAAAAAATATAGATTATTCAGTCACATTAAATAACTTTTATACAAGAATCTAATAGAGGGGAAACAAAAACATTTTTTATCTTCTGAATGTCATCTATCGATGAAATATTATCTTATTCAGTAAAGAAAGTATTCATTCATTCATTGATTAATATATTCAAAGAATAAAAAAAAAAATTTCTCGAATATAATTCATAAAAAATAGTTTATTTAAATACCGTATATATTCTTCAACAATACGTTTCCATCGTTGTCTATATAACCAACCTCGACAAAGACTTTGAACTTTTTTTATTTTTCGTATTTCTTCTGTATCTTCTTCAGCTATACTTTTTGTTCGTAATAAATGATGTTGACGTCGATAGCGAGATAACTAAAAAAAAAATAAAACAAAATAGTTTTCAAACAAAAACAACTCATTTGATTTGTTTTCTTTTTGTATTTACTTCACTACGTAATTGTCGAACTTCAGTTGAAAGTTCTTCAACTTGTTGTAAATATTGATATTTTGCTTTAGTTTCACTTTCATAAACTTGTGATAAATGTCGATATTTTTGTTCAAGTTCTTCTTTAACTGATAATAAATGATTATAACTAAAATCAAAAAAAAAATTTTTTTTTTCTCATTTCATTGTATTTTATCTTTTAACCTGCATGATTGAATACATTCAATCCATACTTGACAATCAGTTTCAGATTCAGCTGCAAATTCAATAGCATTACGACCATCACGTGTATAAGATATTGAAAAACAATTCTAAAACAAGAATTTAAGTTTAATTATGTAACTAGAAGTTTTTCTATAAGAGGAAAATTTAGATTTAGCACATAGTCTTGAAATTGAGTTTTCATATAATTCAAAGGTGAAATATCAATATTGATAATACTATTCATACAATTTGTCCTTAAACTTATGTCAATAAACAAATAATTGTTTATGAACAAATAAAAAAAAAAACATCGAGTGTTAGTCCTACGACAGGAAAATAAATCGATGTACTTTATTTTGATTATAGCATAGAGAAAAAAAATTCATTGTTAGCAAATATGGCAAGAAAGTAAAGATCAATATTAAAATGAGTTGAATTTTCATTAATGAGAAAAAGTTGACAATTAGTTTGTAAAAGCTAATGAATTTTAAACAAAATTCTATTCAATCAGAACTTTGTAAAGTAGAGCATTGAATTTAAACAAATGTTTATTAAAAATTTTTTTAATATAGCATGATATTAAAAAAAAAATAATTTATTTAGAATTTATAGAATTTAAACCAACGAATGTTGATTATATTTTCCATAGAATCTATAGAACAATAATCAATTGATAGAATTCATGTCTATCACAAAAAAAAAATGAATAAAAGAAGAAATTATCGAAATCTCATTTAATGAATACGATCATGATAATGCATTGTGAAGTATTGAGCATGTTCAACTTCCTTCCGTTTCAATAGTAGATGTGCCTTGATCCAAAATGGAAATAGAAAGAACCTTTTATCTCTTGAGAGATGTTATACTGCTATTCTCGTTCATTTCTAAATCTCATAGGATAGTGGCAAATGCTTTTTTTTTTGCCTATTGTGAAAACAATCCAACCATACATTAATCTCGATATCACTAATAAACGTTTAATCTAATTTATATGATAATATATTGCAATTTTCAATACTGAAGACTTAATTATGGTTAAATTCTTCAATTCATGAAGAATCTTATTAAAGATATAATTCATTGATAAATTATAAGAATTAATTGGGAAAGAAATTTTTATTATAATTATTTTGTTTTGAAAACATGCAATAAACTCATCAAACGAAATCATTCAAATATAAATATAAAGATTTTAATTAGATTAAAACAAAAAATTTCAAAATATATTAAAATAAAGATTATATTGAATATTTTGTTTACTTACTAATTTTTCTCCATCTTTACTATTTTTAGTTGTTGAACGTGATGAATAACAACTTTCAAGAAAATAAACTCCTTGTGGTTTAGTTGAATTAACATTTTCATAATAAAAAAGTAAATTTTGATATAAAACAAACCATTTTAATTGCCATTTATTCGGTGATGATGATGATGGATCTTGTCCACTACCACCACGTCTTGATAAATAACCACATTCACGATTTTCTAATCGTGCTTTTATTGCTATATTAAGTAAATGTTCTTCATTAACTTTAAATGATGTACGTGTCATTAAAATAGTTTGTAAACTTTTTAATGGTAACCAAGAATCAGATGAAGCCATGCATAAAATTTCTAATAGACAATTATTATTTCGACCAAAGAAAAACAACAACAAAAAAAATTGTATGAATATTTATTTGATTAATATTTTAGGAAACCATGTTCTATCTATAATAATATAAAGCATCTGAAGTAATTATAGAGACTAAACAGATTTCAACGATAACATTTTTATCTTCTAATCTTCCCATGTGACATTATTTTTTCTAATTTATGCTTTATCTCAACTATTAAATTATACCATGTGATAACGAAAAAAAAACAAAATGAGTAGGCGAAATATAATTTAATATAAGTACATATTTAACATTAGTTAATGACATATGATTGATGTGCTTGTTAATGTGAAAAAAAAAAGAGGTAATTCTGGTCCAAAAGTTTTTCTTTCTATATCCCACACATATATTCTCTCAATAGAACCACTCAAGACACAGACGGGAAACAAGAGAAAAAGATAGAATGTATGCTCACATTACGTTGATGAATTGACTAGAATGTCAGGAACAGCAAATAATGCATAAACATGAGCATTTTTTTTGCTTCTAGCAAGAGTTTAATTTGTATATGTCGGAAATGAAGTGGAATCGACAACAGTATTTTCTAGGTTCCTTTTTTTCTTCTTCTTCTTCAAAAGAAAACTTACATGTTAAAGTCACTATAATCTTCAATGGTTTTAGTAGGCAATAAAAGGATAATCAACAAACAAGTCAAGTACAATTGTATATTTAATCAAACAAACTACAAATTAGTGATTATCACATTCTGTTATAGTGATTTCACATATAATCTTACATCAGATAATTAACTCTATTAAAAAAAAAAACTCTCAACTTTTGTTTTCAAACGAATTATAAGGAAGAGAAATAATAGTAATATGTATAGAAAAGAAATAATCATAAATATTACTAAGTTTAAATAAGGAAATCCAAAACGAGAATCTTCAATCATACCAGTAGTCAAATTACTTCCGGTAGAATAAAAATACATTGATTATTTTGATTGTTATCAAGTAAAATTTTTAATTATAAAAAAAAAACATAAACGTGAACATTTTCTATTTTTTTTTTATAAAAAAACAAAATTACTAAATAAAATAATAATAACAATAACTTTATAAATTAGTAAGTTTCTCAAAAAAAGTTTTGCTATATACAAAACAATGTATGGAAATCTTTTCATATAAGAACAGCTGTCAAACCTAGTAAGAGTTTTTATATTTATTGTTGATACAAAGGCACTTTAAGAAAATAAGAGGAAAAAAAAAGAGAAAAAATGAATTAAAATCTTTTTTGCCGCCCACGATGACAATTGAGAGATGAGGTGAAATTCGACGTCAAAAGAAAAAGCAAACTTATTTACTATTTTGTCTTATTGCATATGAAGAAAAAAAAAAAACAAGAATTTATTTTTGTACAATAATTATGTATTTATAGTATTGAACTAAAAACGATGAAATCGATCGCATGACAACCTCCCGTATTCTTTTATTCTTTTCAGGTATTCAATTGTAGTTGAATATTATGCCGTCAATAGATTTACGAATTATCTCTTCATTCTTTTTTTTAAACGAAATGAATAAAGATTGAAATTAGATTTTATAATTACTTTGTATGATAAAGCTTAACTGGGATTGTCGCAATAATCGTCTCTTATGTTTCTCTCTCTCTCTCTTCGTTAACTTTTTATATTCATTAAAAATATCAACAATGTAACAACTTACTTGATTGTATTTCTTCTATTCTTGTTAAAGTTTTCTTAATAAAAAATAAAAAATTTTCATACTAGCCACGAATATCAACTATATTAATATATATTCTTTTCCATAAATAAAAGAAAATTAATAAAAAAAAATTCATTACCGTCATCTATCATTCTTCTTTTGCTAACTTTTCTGCTTTTTTTTTTGTCGTCTATGAGAAAAAAAGAAATGCATGCAAACATATTAAAACAGAAAGAAAGAATGAATGCCATCTCACACGTACTGCTATTAATGATAATTACGTCTACATGAAACGCAGAAAAAAAAAAGAAGAAGCATCAACGTCATCAAAATTGTCATAATATTGAACAAAAAAAAAAAAAAAAAAACTGGTGTGCATGTCAATGAGAACTATTCGATCCTTATATTTTGTTAATTCATATTCTTATTCAGATGAGAAATGATTCAAAAATAAATAAATAACATTAGAATAGAATTCTAAAAAATAAATTTATATTATTAGTGAAATATTCTAGGATATAAAAATTTTCTTATCATGTCATATTAAAGTAGATTAATAAATATTGAATATAAGAAAATCCAATATCGAATAAATAGTACATTTTTTGTAATGATAACAATACAATACTATACTGATAAATAGTTCTATTTCATAGCATTACTTCTATTGATTTATTCAATATCCTGTGCTAGATTATTCATTGCATGTCTACAATCAAATATCTGGATTTTCTTCTTTCTTCATCCATCGATATTATCACTATATTAGAGTATATAAATGAATTCAATTTAAAGGCATGATTAAATTCTAAAATTGGTTGTCCCTAATGAATATTGGTGTTTTTCTTCTTTAATCATAGTATAATTATTTGCAGAAAATTCAAAATGAAAATATTGTGTATTATAGAGATTAAAATGATTAACTTTTGTTTATAATCAATTTATTTATTTATTTTGTTTTCTTGGTTTAACAATCATACATACACCCATCCCGGTGAGATAATTTTATATACAAACACGCATAAAGTAAAAGAGGAGAAAAAAAACGTTTATTTATACATCTGACTGGAGTAAGAGTAATAAAACAAACAAGAAGAGATAGATATCCATTAAATGATTTTTTCTTTTTTAATCTGTCTTATTGAGAGAAATATTTGTTTTCATTTTAAAAATGAACATTAGGTGTATTATTAGAGTTCGTATTTGTTCCATTTGTAACTCCGGCAAGAACATCACGACTGATTTGTTTCATTAATTCTTGTGTTTTACGACGATTTCGACGAGCAGCATCAGCACGTAAATACGGTGCTTTCTTCAAATCTATAGAAGAAAAAAAGAAAAAAGCAAAAAACTTAATTATATTCTGAAAATTAATCTAGTAGATTTCTCTTTCAAATATTAATGTTTTAAACATGATACAATATATTTTCAGAAACACATTAGAAACGCTATACTCTATCCATCGTAATAGAATGATCAAGTAGATTGTTTGATGGTATCAGTGACATGAGTAGATTTTGCAAATCTCATTATATCTGATATTCCATCTCTAGAAGAAAAGCTAGTTAACGAGAAGATTCCATAAGGAACTGCATCCTTCTTCTCCTTTCCAGTACTCATCAGAAAATCTTGAAACTTTCCAGGGAGATAGATCTTGATGAGTAGAGCAAAATTTCCAAATGTTTTCATCTCGAAGATGTTGACGTCGCAAAGGCTAAAGGTCACGAGCGTCCTCCTCTAATCGTCTTATTTTTTTCAGCTACAATACGTTTGATAGAGTTGAAATGATTTTTTTTACAGATTAGTAGACATTGCTATCGGTGACTAGATTTTGTTTTAATTTCATTTTATCTCCTTTCAAACGAATAAAAAGATCAAAATAATCATCTAAAATGCAATGTTTTTTTGTCTAGACTCTAGAGAAAAAAAAATCAGCGATATCTCATATTTTGAAACAAAGAAAAAACCATCCTAAAAATTTTCCAGTATAAATAGAAGGAAATTTCAGCTCAATTGGATATATTGCACTTGAAAAATGAGAGTGGGAAGACGGGGGCGGAATGATTCTTAAAATCTTTTTTTCTTTGTTAACAAAATCAGTGAAATAATAGTTTTTCAGCAAAAATATTCCATTTTTTTCCGGTCTTATAACTTTTATAGTTGTATATTACTACTTGAAATATATCGAATCAATAGATGAATACTTTGAAGCAGAAAAATTTAATAAATGATATTTTAATTCATTCGTTTTTCATAGGCAATATATCTCAGTAATACCAATTATACTCTCACCAAATATAATTATTCTAAAAAGCTTTGTAATGATATAAATGAAAATTATTTGAATTATTCGTTCAGAAAATTGGAATATTTTTTTTATTGAAAAAAAGAAAAATTATCGTACCATCTAATAAAGTTTCAATAGTACCATCTGTTAACGCTTCACGCTTGATTAATTTATGATCTTTTATAGCTTCTTTACGTCCTTTTAGTTCATTCAATAATTCTTCCTAAAAAACAATGAAAAATATTTAGAAATAAAAATTTTGTTTTGTTTTTTAAAGCTCATTTAAACAAAATAATGAAGCAATATAATAAAAATAAATTGTTAATTTTTATTTTAAAATACAGCACAATAATAAAAATTTTACCTGTAATGTTAAAACATCATTTTCCTACTTCGCTTTATATTTATTTTTAATATTGATATTTATAATAAATTTACCTGTGAACGTTTATTAATTGGTCGTTTATTAATTGGTTTATCAATAGATAAAGCAGCTTCACGAGCTACACGTGTTCGTTCTTCATTATCAATGCGTGCTTGCTATACGAAAAAAACAAAAGCAACAAATTAAATTCATAAAACAAAAAGAAATCTAACTTGATATGCTCGTTGAAATTTAACAAAAACAGAGAAAAAATTCGATGGATTTTGTGTACGTGGTGTTTCACCTTTAATTAAAAAGAATAATTAAATTATATTTAACAAAAAAAAATTTACTTACCAAAATATTCTACACATTGATTAAATGAATCTTGTGCTAATTTAGCATCTTTAATTAATCGATCAATTTTATCTTGTGCAATATTAAGAAAATCTTCTAATGGATTTGTTTCCACATTCTAAAAATTATATCAAAAAAAATTTTTTTTTAAAATTCAATTAACTATTACTTTCATTGTTTGTCGAATAACAAGTTCTTTTTTTGCATTATCTAAACCGCGTGTTAAATCTTGAACATCAGTTTGAATATTTTCCAAAGATACTAAAATAGAATTTAAAGATAAAGTAAACTGAAAATTTATAGTACAAAAAAAAAATTGAAGTCTTTTTTTTTTAAATCAAAAGCTTCAACACACACACGAATAAATTAAACCAATCGAAAAAAAAAATGCTATAAGCAAATCACTATAAAGAAGCATATGTTTCTCTGATACATACATCATATGAATTAGAATTTTTCAAAATTAATTCCAATAGAAAAATGAAACTAAAAAATAAAGCCACATTTTCAGAGTATATCCGTCACAGATAGAACCGATCTGAAAACAAAGTTTTATTACACATTGTCTATGAGATAATAAGAGCAAAACAATAAATAGATAAGATACTGATTCCATCTCTGACATCGATAGTTTATTTTAACTTTTTCTGCCACTTAGAAATAAATATCTTGAAGTCGTATGAATCAATTTTCGTAGAATCGCATCTAGCTTTTTTATGATTTCTGTCATTTTATGCTTGAAAAAATCTTGTTTACTTTTTTCATCACATATTTCAAAAGTCTCGAAAGAGTTTCATTGTCACTGATTACTTTTACTTTTTAATTGAAAGAGCATATGAAGCTGCAATGCTTCTTTTATTATTAATAAGAAGAAAGCACTTCTATAAATGAATGACCATCTTCTGTTTTTTTTTTTTGAGAGCTTTTCTAGGTGTTGAACTTGTCATCCTTTTCCTCCGCTTCAAAATAATAAGGCACTACGTCTGAGATGCTTTTTCTACTAAGAAAAAAAAAACAATTATATCTTTAGAATAAGAACCCATAGAGAATTTTGATTTATCAAACGTCCTAAGTTTTTTTCATCTTTGTCTATTAAATATTTCCGGAAAATGTCGTGATATAAGACTGAAAATTTCTATGCAATTAGAATGTACTTGACTTAAGATCAATTTTTGTAATAGACTTTAAATTTTTCTATAAATAGAATTGTTTTGAAAAGTAAAAGCATTTTTCATTCTTTTATTTTTGGCAAATTTAATAGAAGAAATGTTAAAGTTACATGTACAAATATATTAAATTAAGAACACAAAATTTTTCAAAAAAAAAGTTTGCATTAAAAAACTTAAATTAATATTAGTCGATTGGAATGAAACTTTTCAAAAATTTTAAAGAATCTTAACAAATAGAATTTGATTTAATATTTATTTATTAGAGTTAGACTCATGTCGAACATTTGTTGGAATGAAAATATTTTTGCTATTAGGATCTAATTCTTAATATCCAAACATTGTAGAATGAATTTTCTTTTCATCTTCCAATAAAACATTATTCATTCTGAAAAATCATGAAATTTGATTGTCTCGGGCACTTTTGTTTAGAGATTTATATTATCAAATTAAACACAACATTTTTTAAATTCGTATTTGCAAAATGGAAAGAATCTTATGATAACTCATAATTTTTTCATTTATTTACAATATTTTGAATCGTATTATTATAATACCAAACTGACAACATTCATAATGTTTGTGGACAAAGCCGCTACGGCGTATTCTCAGGCGAATACAAGAGTTTGCTTCCCTTCAAGAGGAACGGCTACCAAGATTTATCTGAACTTATCCTATTGATAGCATCTAATGTATTTTACCTATATCAAGAGTGGGGAGCTGCGAGTCCACATTTTTCTGGACGCGAACCCGACCGAGTCCAAACTCGAAGTTTTTTCCATCAATACCTGGCATCCTTCGTGTACACGAACTAGTGAAAGATTAAGATTTTAGCTATTTATTCGCTATTCTCAGAAAAAAAAAGTTAACGTACAGTTATATCTTGTTGCTGTATTTCTCATCTGGGAAGCAGTAGCCCATAAAAACGTGTAATCAGGTCTAATAAAAAATAAAACTTTGGATTTGGACCCGGCTGGGTCTGAAAGAACCCGCAGCTCCCTAGTCAAAAGAGAGTCATCCTTCACCCTCAACTACATACTTACCTTCAGACTAGTTTCTTTTGTTTGATGATAATATTTAGACTTCGATAACGATATTATAGAACATCAACAATCAAGAAAATTGATTCCTTTCGAACGAATTCACTCTTATTAAAATGGTTTATTCATAAATATAAAAATCTGAGTGAATTCAAAATGAGAATTGATTCCGGGAATAAATTTTCTCAAGTGTTTTCTTTTTCAAATATTTCAAAATAAATGGATTTATATATGTACAACGATAATCATCGTTTTCAGCATTTGTTTTAGATCAAATTAGATGAAATAAAACTTTAAAATCATTCGTTAACAGATTTTCATGGTTCTCTTTTTTTTACGTAGCAAGATGTTCGAACATTCTTTATATTTATTCTTAGTAAAATTCATGCTAAAAGAATGATTTCTTACATTGTGCAGCTTTTTCAGCTGATTTAAGTTCCATATCAAAATGTGATATATCAGGAAAACGTTCTTCGACTGTTTGAACAATATAATGAAGTAATGTTAAACGTTTATCATGTGTTCTTGTATCCGATAGCTATAAAAAAAATAATAAAAAGAAGAATTCAATGAAGAGTATCACAACAAATTTATATAATTTTACAATTTCTAAACTTGCTAATTTGAATCCATAAGCTGGACCACGTTTACTACTGTTCATATAATTACCAAAAGCAAGTACAATCTAACATGAAAAAAATTCAATAATATAGAGAAAAAAAAAATTCTTTTTTTCCTATTACCTCAAGAAGTTTTTTAAATCTTGAACTATTTTTTAATGTTGTTGATGCTGTTATAATTGCTTTTAATTGTGGTGTTAAACTTTCATTAATATCATTAAAATTAGCCATAAATGAAACAACATTTAATTTTTGTGCTAATCTTTCTATTTTAGAAAGCTTAGGAAGAAAAAAAAACAAAGAGAAAAATTTAAAATACAAATAAACGAAATATTTTTTTCTTTTACTCCATATAAAAATCGATCTTCATCAGATAAATTCAATACTGATTTTCCATCAGCTAAATAGGATGTAAATGCTTTTATTTCAGATTCAGTTGGAATAAAATGTTGTAATATATCAATTGCATCTGTAGTCAAAATTTTTAAATCAAGACTAAATAAAACAAATAATTTTATGTCGTAAGTTATTCATTTTTATATCAAATAAATTCATACTTATTCAATGCACGTATTATTGTATTCACATCAAGATCAAGTTTTCGTCGAGCAATAGCTAAAAGAGAAAAATCATATAATTTACTTTTCGTATACAAAGTCTCAGAATCATAAGCCTACGAAGCGTAGACCAGGGTAGGTTCAAACTTTTTTTTTCTCCTTCTATCAGATTGATACGTTTGAGTAGTGCAGCACAAATGTCAATAGTTTTCTCTGCCTAATAATAAATTTCAATAAAATGTCTATAACTTTGTAGAGAAGACCTAGGAGTCCTTATCTTTTTGGAATTTTTATTACGTCATTAGGGTCTACCTTATACATGGAGTCCGAACTCAACAGCAATTTCCAAACTGGAAAAATTTCTAGTGGCGGCGTCACAGCGGACAGCTGCACTGCCGAAAGGTTTCTAAAATTGTTGCTAACGATAATCCCACAGTAGTACTGATGGGGACTCAGCCTCTCCCGATCAAAACTCCTGGTGCCACCGCTAAAGGTTTCCTCGTAAGCTCCACAGTGAAATATCTTTTGTAAGCATTAGAATTTTTTTCGCAGTAAAATAGACCAAAATCTTCTTTTATGTACTGTAAAATATGAGTTCGGAAAAAGAAGCATTAACTATATTTCATCAAAAATTCATTCTAAAATCAAAACATTCCATTGCCTATGTATTTGACTATTTATTCTAATGGATTGCGAAAAGTAATCGAGAAAAAGCTAGAATTCATTTTTTTGTATAGATTATTCTCCTTCGCTTTTAATTCAATACATTCATTGCAGTAATTTTATTTATTGTTCTTCCCGATAATACTCTAAATATACTTTTAGTTCATCTAATACATAGTTTTTGGTTCAGATTCACAAATAGATTATAATCGAAATTCCTTAAAAATATTGACATGTCTGCTTTGAGAGATTCAAATATCCAGAAGAGACATATGTTGAGTATCATTGACAAAATGAATTTTTTTTTTTCATCTTGATAATGTCTCTTTTCACGAACAGATAATTTTCTTCCAACAGAAAAATTCTCGAGCAATGCATACACACATATATATGCCAAAGTAAACGCAATCTTGACCTGTAGATGTTACGAGTTATATTTAAAATTTAATTCTTAAATACAGATTTTTTTTTATAGTCGTTTCATTTGTATTCAATGGAAAATTTTAAAAAAAGTATCATTTTATTTTTACCTAAATTTCGTTGTCTTTGTGGATCAAGTAATGTTAAACTTTCTGGAATTTTAACAAATTTTTGTTTTAAATATGGACTAACATTTGCTTGATTAACTGGTAAACCAGAACCGGTTTTAAATAATTCTTCGAATGTATCAAAATCAATTAACTAGTAAAGATAAAAAAAAAATCTAATGAATTGAATTTAGAAAAAAAAACAAATTTTACTTTAAAATATTTTTCATCATCAAGTTCAGAAAATACAGTTCCACGAACTTGTCCTGGTTTTAATGAGGTCCAATTAAGATTAGGTAATTTATATTTTGTTTCAATTTTCTTTTTTATTGTCATTGATCCAGGTGGTGGGTCAAGCATACCGGGGGGTGGCGGTGGAATACCAAACATTGGAGGAGGCTAAAAGAAAAGGCATGGAGAAAACATTCTTAAGTTAATAAACATAATTATCGTACCGGCCCTGGTGGTGGAGGTGGTGGGATAAAATCTATGAAAAAAAACGGAATAAAAGAGAAAACAAAGAAAATATTATTTTACTTGGAGGTGGTGGTGGTGGTGGCGGAGGGGGAGGAGGAGGTACAATGGATATCGTAGATGTCTTATTGTTTAAATAATTTGATCCACTTGTAGGTGCACCAGGTGGAGCTGATGATATTGATGATGATGAACCATTCAGGGATCCTATGAAATAGAATAGAAATTTTCTTTTTCTAACAATAAATGAAAAATCAAGAATAAATATCATTTTAATTCAACGATGTTTCTAAGAAAGTTGATTCAATTATTGAATTCATACTTATTTCATAATAATATCATTCAAGTTCATCTTTATTAGACAACAAGTAATCACAATATATACATAGAAAAATAATATTTTCAAAAAAAATTTGAAATGATAACGCATAAGAAAACATTAGGTATCAAACAGATAGATCTAGAAAGATCACTAGAATTTTTAGAGTCCGGGGATTCGAATTAATAAGAGATCTGTCGAAATTTTCTCATTCGAGACAGGCTTAGTCATATTTTATAAAATTCAGCTATTCTCTTGGAATGGACTTCCCCAGCGATGGAACCGGTAGACCGACCTGTCTGACCTTTTCAGATTAGCACCAGTACCGATCGTCGAAAATTCAGACTGGTTCTATCTCTATATCAAGTATGTGACACAACTTGGCATATTAAGTTTGTCACGCGGAAATCTACATTTTTCATATCTAAACTACTCTTTCTGTAGTACTATAAATTATCGGCATATCGTGCGTTACTAACGGACTGGTTCCATATCTGGACTTCCTCGATTGAAATAAATGTAAGATCACCGTAGTTTTATTATACATACACCGTTAATCTACACGTATATGTCTAGACTAGTGAACCAGTGATCCCTTTTGCATCCCTAATATTTTACTATCGGACAGTTTATTGTTAGGAAAGATTGATTAAAGAATTATTGACTTGAGCGTTCTGGTTTATAAGTAGGTCTTATCATCATAGGAATATCCTTAAAGTTTTAGTTCAAACGATTGTTTTCGCGTTAAGATATTCAATGTTCACAAAATCGATTAGATTTCATAAACAGTTAGACAAAATTTTAAATAAAAAAATTCTTTATTTCGTTAAACTTTTAAAAAAAATTGAACATACCTCGTTCTTGCTGACATTGTCTTAATGTATTCAACGTATGTGAAATATCATCACGTTCTTTCTATTAAAATAAAAAACACATAAATATCTATTATATTTCTAAACTACCGGGTACGACATAAAGATTGCAACATTTAGTATTTTGCAAATATCTCAGCAGAAATCGATCGTATAACCTTGATACTTTTTTTAAACGATGCGTCATGAAAAGCTCTACAAAAAAATGTAAGAACAATTCCCTATTAACTTGTGCTGATGGTGTCTGCTACACTCAAAATGAATAGGTCACATGATGGTGCTATGTTCCACTGTATTAAACATGTGGAAGACTTTTTTTTCAAAGATGCGCCGTTGAAACCTCTACAAAAGCTGTATGAACAACTTCCTATTGCAAAATAAAAAAAGTCTTCCAAATATTTAATATAGTGGGACATAGAACCATCATGTGACCTATTCATTTTGAATATAGAAGACACAACCAGAACAAGTCAGTAGGGAATTGTTCTTACATTTTTTGTAGAGCTTTCCACGACGCATCTTTTAAAAAAAGAATCAAGGTTATACGATCAATTTCTGCTGAGATATTTGCAAAATACTAAATGTTGCAATCTTTATCCCACACCCGGTATTTTAATTACCTTCGCATTTTCCATTTGTTCTTCTGCGAAAGATAATGCTTTTTGCAGTTCAGCTTTAAGAAAAAATAATCTTTTAAGAACAACAAAAAAGAAAAATTTTGTGTGTTTTTTTTTTACCAATTTTACTTAAATTTCCACTTTCAAGTTCTTGCATTCGTTCATTAACCTAATAATAAAATTTTCTTAATAAAAATAATTTCATTTAAAATTATTCTTACAATTCCTAATTGTTCTTCTAATTCTGATACTTTAGCTATAGCTTGTTGTTTTGTTTCAGAATCTTCAAGTAATTGTCCAACATCAAAATAATTATCAAGAAAAGCATGAATTTGTAATATAAATAAATCACATTCACTATGAACTTCCAAATATTTCTAAATAGAATAAAGGAACATACGTGTAAAAATTATTTTCAAAAAAAAACAAATGTTCTACTTTAAGACATTCATCAAGACCAAGTAATTTAAATTCTTCTTGTAAATATACACGATAATTCATATCTTGTACTGAATGTACAATTATATTTATAAATTGCATACAAGCAACCTGTATATATAAAGAAGGGCAAATAAAATAAATATTAATTTTTATTTTACCATGTAATCAACATTAAATTCTGATGGTTGTGTAAATGATTTCATTAAAATTTCAAAACGATGTTTTTCTTGACATTCCTATAAAATGAAAAAAAAAATTTTATATTTCATTTTTAGAGAAGAGAATAAAAGATTATTTACAATACGAAAATTATCAAATGCTGCTAAGATAACCTCATGACCTAATTCAACTAAACATACAGCAGCAAGTAATTCTAAAATTAATGCTTTGCATCTAAAAAGAAAAACATTATCAGATTTAATTAAAAAAAAAATTTTTTTTACCGATAATTTTTATGTTGTAAACTAAGTGTGATATAATTTAGAGCAGATGGATGTTGAATAACAAGATTAAAACCATTCTAGAATATTTTCATAGAATTGAAAATAAAAATCTTATAGAAATTTTGCTTTAATCACTATAGTTTCGGAAAGTATGTATTTGATGTTTAAATATATATGGCTTATATCAAGCGAAATAGGACATACTCACCGTTCATTTGACTTTAATTAATTACAAGGATTATTTTTCTGAATAAGGTCTTTTACTACAGACATATGTAAAAATGTTAGCTCTTACAACTGATTATTGATTCAAATACAATTAGCGAATATCTCTCTAACCATATGAGAAAAAATCCGAAAACTTCAGGATAGAACAACCGGAACAGAAATGTTTAGGTCATTTTTTGTACTCCGTCACGTCGCTAACGGAAAATAAATCGACTTTTGTTTTTGAAAAATCTAGGCATGTCCACAAAAAAAACTTTAGATAGAGATTTTGTTGAGTCACGAGTTGCCTACAGTAGAGATGTGCACCGCCCGCACCCTAATGGAAAGTATGACTCATATCGGAGTGGCTGTCCCGGTCGACGAAAAGGCTTTTGGTGCAGTGCCCGCCGCCCGCGTAGCGGTTTTTAGACGCGGTATACATCTGTAGTCTACAAAATATACTATTTCATTTTCACAAATGCTGCCTCAATTCGAAGTTTTTTTAAACTAAAATGCATGAGATGAAAATCGATGTCCTTTTTACTGATAACTCCACTAAACAAAGGTCTCTAGTGCTGAGTTTTTCAAGGTATTTAGAGTAACTTAACATACATGTAACATGTAAAAATTAGTTTTAGAAAAGTTTATTATCTCAAGATACAAGTGTTTTGATTTTGCGAAATCACCTAGTTGATGAATAATTTGGTCCATATTTTATCTATTTTTATTGAAATGCATTACTCTATCAGCATTTCAATTGGTACTGGACCCAGTCGGATCCGACGGGCTCTTGCGTCCACTGTTAGTAGTCCCAAATTTCTGTAATTTTGCCAATTCCTCCTTTCGTCAATTGTACTTTTTCATGATTATTTAGAATTTCGCCAGTTATACTTTTTCACTGTCCATATTATAGCTGAGTTACAACTCATTTCATTCAAATTGGCGAATTTCATGAGAAAATTCGTCAATTGGCGAAAAGACAATTCTCCTGTAGAAATAAATGAACTATGAAGTATTCTGAAACGAGCTCGTATCCTTAGATTATTGCTACAGAGATACTGCATTTTTATGATATTTTTTAAATGAATACGAGAACATCAGAAAAAATTGATTTTCGAATTTCAACTTAAAACTTTTCATAGAGATAGGCTTTCACGAGAATAGTTTTTTATGAATATCTCACGTCTTGTCGTTGTTCCCATCCTGAAATCTGAACATCGGATCTGCCGATTTATATGAGCGATATAAAAGACACGCTATTACTATAATTATATCTCAGAATAAGAACAGTGACAAGACCTGAAACATTCACAAAAAACTATTCTCATTAAGACCTATCTCTATGCAAATTTTGAAGTCGAAATTCGAAAATTAGTTTTTCTGTTGTTCCTATATGTATTCAAAAAAAAACGCCGTAAAAGTGCAGTATCTCTGTAGCAATAACCTAAGGACGTAGACTCTTTTCACAGTATTCATAGCTCATTTGTTTCTACCTAATGCACGAGATTGTGGCTCAAAAGCGATTGAACAGTTGGTGGACTTCCCTCGTAAGTCTTGTTGTTAATATCATTCACCATCTTTTTCTGTTTCTAAAGAAATCTGAGGCCTGTTTGCTATGGAAACGTATCCAATAACCATCCTCCTCGTTGCTAGAAAAAACATACTTATTGACGGTTGACCTTTGACTTTCGTTGCTATGAGCGGAGGAGCCACAAAATCTTGACGAGCTACATAATTATTTCTTTTTTTTCTTCTTACAATAATTTAGATTTGAATAATTCAACAATCGATTTCAGTAGTTTCTCTTAACTCTATCCATTGAATGAACAAAATTAACTATTAAATTATTTATAATTTATTTCATCTATATGATATAATTCATATGAGAATTGAATATTATTATGATTAGAATTTATTTTAGATTTCTTAGGTTTCTTTGAAGAAAAAAGAAACGCGCCATATTATTTTCTTTCTATCTATATGATGAAACCTTTCAAAGAAAAGAAATTTACTTGATTATTCATAATAGCTCGAAGACACATAATACATAATCTAACATCATCAGTAGCTTCACCAATTTGATATTTTTTTATTTTCCGATGTAAACGTTTAGCATCCGAACGAGCTAATGTTGTTCGTTTAAATGTTGTTATTGAATTTTCATCTGTATAATGATTATTTCCATTTATTGTTGATGAAATATTTAATTCATTTGATGTTTCAACTTCGCTAGATATAGAACAAAAAAGAAATTTTAGATTATTTTTTTTTTTTTATTAAAATAAATATTAAAAATCTAAGTCAGTTAGTTTAGCTATAATTCAATTCTATCCTCTCACCTTAATAAATCATAAAATAGAAATTGTCTACTGTTTAATGATGAATTATCATCATTTGGTTCGAATCTAATCTTTCAAAATTTTCATTTCTTTTTTAAATAATTTTAAACAAAACAAAAGAAAAAAACAAACAAAGGAATGACTTTATTTTACTTACCGCATTAATTCTAATGATGTTTTTAAATAATCAAGTAAAACATCAAGACCTTTATTTGATTGATTAAGAAAATCATGTACCCATCTAAAAAAAGAAATAATCATTAATAGTTTTTCTTTTTAAATAGTAGAAAATTTATAATCTTTTACCCAATATTATTTGTACGTAATGAAATTTCTAAACTTGAAAGTAATTGAGTTGAAAGTTCAATTGGTTGTTTTTTTTTCTATATAGAAAACGAAAAAATATTAAAATATTAAAAATTAATTATTCTAAATACTAAAGTTGCTGCTTTTTCAACAAGATTAGCACCACGTATATATGTTTGTAAACCATCAATATAATATTCAGGTGGATGTTTAGCAATAACTTGATCCTGAAAAAATGATAATAAAACAAAAGATTATGATTTATTTTTTTTATTTCTCATACTCGATCTCGTATAATATCCCATTTCTTTTCAGCTGGAAATTCACGTAACATTTTCATTTTATCCGGTGGTAAATCCATGGCTGCCTAGATTTTAAATATATATTAAAAAACAAACAAACAAACAAACAAACAAAACTTAACGTACGATTGTTTTTTGAAATAAATCTTCTAATGTTCGATCATCTGGCCGTAATTGATTCATTTTATCAAGACTTCCAATACTCTTAAAAAAACGAAAATTGTTTTTATTTTAGAAATTTTACTATAATACTTTTTCAAGTGTATCAGATGAATTTAAACTTGATGTTGATCGTACAAAACCAACCATTTGCCATTGGGACAATAATAATGTCCCGTTTTCATCAGTTACTGCCGCCGTTGTGTCGTTATTATTCTAGCATATATTAGAATATTAATTTAATCTAAAAGGGTAATGTATATAGTTTTGCATTTTAGAATAAAAATAGAATCAAATGAGAATTTGTTCGATTTTTTTTTTGCAGTTGAAAAGAAAAAAATCCATGAAACAGAGTGTAAAATTATTATATGAAAGAAAAAAAACAAGAGAAATGAATGAAGATACTAAGATTGAAGAAAACAATTAATCGTAAAGAGCAATCTATATGTAGAAATATAGACACATACGCAATCGTTATAAAAATCTCTCTCAATGACAGATATAAGCAGTCTATTTACTTACATTGTAAAATTTATTTTACATAAAACAAGATTTTTTGCTCAAATGTCCTTCTAATAAAAACAACACTATCAAAATAATTATAAAAAAAATTACTAGTATTTTTTCCTCAATTTATCGTCATCATAATGATTCATCATGAGTAATATTTTTTAAAATGAAAGAAAAATGAATTAATAATAAAGTCAATTACTAATAGTGTATTAATAAGAAATAATCGATTACGGCTTATCAATACATTTTTGAGCACAAGAAGTGTACTACCCTTTCATTCATTCATTCATTCATTCTCCTCTTTTTTTTTATTGACGATTGAAATATGATCATGATCTTACTTTTCATAAGGTTCATGGACTTGTTTAATTTTTATGATACGTTTTTTTTTTTCTTCTCTCGCCCTTTATTCATTATATCCGATAAAGGAAAAAATATGTATTAAGGACAAAGAGCACAATCTCTATTCATCATCATATAATAACTCTTCAATTTTATTTTTTCGTTACTTAAACAAAAGGTGACGACGGTATCAACAAACAATACTTGATATACATATATACTGAATAAAAGAGAGAAAGAAGAGTATTGTTGACACAAACTGACGGCTTCAGTGGCACTGAGCCGATTTGATCAACTCGTATAATATGTGTGTGAATGTGCATAGCTCAGCGAATATCATTATGAAACACAGTATTACTATTACAATGGATCCGAATAATAGAAAGAAAAAAACAAGAATGTGAAGAAGAAATAGATAAAGAAAATAAGCAAAAAAAAAGAAGTATCAACATTCAAATGACGTTCGAAGACGATTAATACTAACATTTGTTTATTATACAAATGAAAAAGATATAACAGGAAGTACAAACAATGTATTGAAAAAAAAATCCTCTTGCTTTATTGTAAATGTAAATATAAAACATGTAGAATCGTTTAAGTTGTATTTCTACTTACTCGATGAAACTATATAAATGTCGTAGAAATCTTACAAAATTGCTTAGCATAGACATATTAGATCGATCACAAAAATAAATAAAAAAAAAAAAAAGAGAAAGAAAACGAAGAAGAGAGAAGGGAAGCAGAAGATGATGATGATGAACGATGATAGTACTGACCGATTCTTTCATTGGATTGTACAAACAGCAATAAGACAACAAGAAAAGAATTATAGTGAATGGAAATATGAACTATTTGATGATGACATCTGTTGAATTCTATTGATTTCAAATTGCTATATATATTTATTGTTGATGATTTATGTTAAAAATTCTATTCATTTATTGGACTTTTTTATAAATGTTAAAACAAATGTTTTACTTTTAAGTTAATTTATATTTTCTAGTTTCACTGATTATAACAATGAATAAATTTATTGGATCAAAACAAAAGAAAAAAAGTGCTTAAAGCAATTTCGATAAAACGTTTCTATATATTTTTTTTTCTTCTTCTATAGACTTTTCTATACAGATGTTTTCAAAGTCATAGAAACACTTTTACAGTTACGTCAACTATACCTATAAAAATATAATTGAATTATGAATAGTTCATACAACGAAATTTCTCGTTTTGAATAAATCTTACTGAACTTTAGTTACCATCATTGCATACACGTCTTCTGTGTGTAGAAAAAAAAAAGAATTAATAATCATCGTTGACATATGCCAATAGCAGCAAAAAAACGTTTGGCAATTACATACAATTGACCACTTGACGATAGTGACGTTTAACAGTTGTTCTCAATATTGTTGTCAAACATTTAAACATATGCGTCAAATATTTGTTTGTCAACCTTAATATTTGAAAATAAAACAAATGATTTCATCTAAATATTATCCAGTATTAAGTGAACCATATATTGAAACAACAGAAAATATTGATACATTATTTAATGCAGTTAAAAATGAAGATTATTCTACAATATATAATTTACTTTTTGATAAAAAAGTTAATTCATCAACTGTCAATTATGCTAATGTTAATCGACCATCATTACTTATTGAATGTTGTAAACGATCGGATAAAAAACTTTTACAAATAATGCTTAAAATTGAAAAAAATCAATTAAAAACTTCATATGAAGATGTTGATGGACATCGAGCTGTATGGTATGCTATTGAAAATAATTTTATTAATGGTATTCATGATATACTTGAGCATAAATTAATTGATCCTAATTTACATGATACAAAAACAAGTTTTACTCCTCTATTACAAGCTATTGAAAAAAAACGTTCTGAGGTAAAAGAAAAAAATTTCTTTGTTTTTTGTTTCATTGAAAAAAAAAAGACCTACATGAAATCAATATAATTAGATTGTAGAAGAATTAATTCGTGCTGGTGCTGATGTTAATTTTCCACCACGTAATCCAGCTCATCGTGGTTTAACACCACTTATTTTAGCTATTGTTAATGGAACTGATGAAATCAGTCAATGTTTAATTAATTCATTATGTAGTCTCAATCAACACGTAGAAGATGGTAGGAATGATAAGTTATATTTTTCTTTTAAAAATTTTCATGCCTCTATTATTCTTATACTTTCTAAATTCAAATAACACAAAATCCATGAGGTTCTTAGATTATATTAAGAATAAAATATGCACTGATTATATAAAATTTCGATATATTTTCATTCGAATTAATATGTTTTGAGTATATCATCATTATACCGATCCTCTTTTTTTTTGCCTTATAATTCATTTTTCAAATATTATAAATATGAGCATTTTTTTTATTCAGCGTACATACTTATGATCTAACAAATAATTTAAATGATATTTTATTATAACAACTAATGATAAATCATACACTATTAGAAAATTTATATATCATCTAACAATTTTCATTATCGAACAAAATAAAAAAAAAAAGGTCTTTCATTTTGTTTCTTATGCAACTAAACTCAATATTATCTAACCTATGAGAAAGACTAAAACCAATCGTATAAAACGTACCAATCAAAAAAATAATTTTCTTAACCCTGATACGACCGCTTGGAGTTTACGTGAACTACCCAACCAATTTCATCACAATGTTAAATGAAACCACTCATTTACGAGATATACTCTAGTGAAGACTAGTTAGAGTATGCATACTGATTATATCTACCAGTTACGCCCAACTATTATTTATATAAGAAGATCATCCTGAAAGACGTGAACACTTGCTGACTATTTGGGGTCGCCTGCATCCTAGTGAAGTTCATAACATTTAATTGAACAATCATGTTCTTTTCAGTGCACGCTATGAACACTTAGTAAGCACATTGATAACGTCAATCAATCAATCATACGCAGTTGTGCTTCTTATATCATGTAATTAGTTCAAATCCAGCTCGAGGCGAACGCATTTTCGTTCTGTTCGTCTCGACCTGGGAACTATATGTGAATAGTGATACATGATTTCAAACACTTTGAAGATAGAAAATGATAAGACCATGATAGAAGACTAGATAAATATACAGGATGGCCTAAAAGTCATTGAGCAGTTTTTAATTGCGAATAACTTTTGATAGCAATAAGAATGCGAGCTACGATGTTCACTGTTGAAAAGAGGAGACTTGAGGGGGCATAGAACCATATAAGAAACATAGTATTCATAATTTTTTAGAAAGCATTTGAAAAATCAATATCAAACACACTAGTGTACTCAGAGTTTAAAGTGTTATGAGAACTTCAAAAACCTCAGTTTTCTGGAAATCTTTGTTTTTTGCAATATTGTGTTTCTTATATAGTTCTATGCCTCCAAATCTCCTCTTTTCAATAGTGAAAATCGGACTTCCCTTTCTTATTTCTACCAAAAATCAAAAATTGTTCGGTGACTTTTTTGCCATCCCACAATTCAAACAACCTGCTTTTCTGTTTGTTCTTTTTTGTAATCAAATATTCTCTACAGTCTTTACATGTCCGTGATAACAAGTAATAATTTCGTGTGTTATATCTATTTTATCTGTAAGCACCAATGTTTAATCCATGTTTTGTTTTTCGGAAGGGCGAATATCTATTTTTGAGAACATAGATACACAGTACGTGGCGCAATAACCGCAAACTTTGGGAAGACTAACCCAATCTTCGGAAGAACGCTATCATCTGGTTAGATAAAACATTGGTGCACACCTTAGGTTAGAGCCTATCGGGTTCAAGAATTTCTGGATCTGAAGCCGATGGACCTGGACTCGATAGGCTCTATCCGTGGTAGATAACAAATGGTAATCCCAAAGATGATTTTTTTGTAGGGTTAAACAATTTGATAGTAATGAAGTATTTTTGCGTTTATTTAAGTCAATTTAAGAAGTTGTTCTAATCTATATGAAATAATTATTTAAAATCTATTCTTTTATTGTTTTTTTCTTTTACTCATATTATTTCAGGTTATACGGCTTTACATTACAGTGTTCTAATGAGTCGTCATCCAACAATTAAATCTTTACTTAAAGCAGGTGCACGAACAAATGTTCGTAGTATATATGGTGTAACACCAATGACTTTAGCAATTTTATCTGATGATCCATATTCAGTTAAAATTCTTATTGAACATGGTTATCCAATAACACGTTCATATCCATGGAATGAATATCCATTTGAACAAGCAATTAAAATTCATGCCGAAGGTTCAGCTATGATGATTGCTCATTTAGGTTGTGAATTAAAAACTAAACAAGCTAGTCGAACAACAAATATATTAACAATGGTAGCTAGTGAAGGTTTAGTTAATTTAATGTTTCTTTTAATAAATATGCAACCACAATATATAAATCAACAATGGATACGTAAACGACAATATCCACATGCATTATATCGTTTAACAAATGTTCAAAATGAATTACAACGTATGTATACAAATCCATTTCGTCTTAAACAATTATGTCGTGCACAAATATCTCAAACAATTGGAAAATTTTATACAGAAAAAATTAATGATTTAAAAAAAACTTATCGTTTATTATCTGATCAACAACTTGATTATTTACGTTATAATGATGTAGTTGATCCAATAAAACATTTTCGTTCTGTTGGTAAACGTCTTGCTCATTTTGAAGTTAATGGTATTGAATTCTATTGGGATCAACGAACATTAAGATATCGAAACTCTTATGATGGTTATACTCAAGATATAAAAAAAGATAAACATCGTAATGAACAACCTAAAAGTGCTATTGTTCGTTTAACATCAGTATTACTTAAACGACGACAACATCAAGAAGAACGTAAAAGAATTAATGAATCTCAAAGTCAATCAGCGTCAAGTAAATCACGTAATATTGTAAAAAAACATGTTAATATAAATATTAAATCAGCTCATAATGCTGGACAAGGAATTTTATCAAAACGATATAAATAAACAGATTTTTTTTATAAAGATATTTTATTTTAAAAATTAATTTGAAAAAAAAAATAATTTTCAATAAATAAATAAATCAGTTACACGTTGATATATAACTTAAGAGTGTGCGATTTATTTTAAAAGTAGAACTAAAAGAAACACTGAATGATTCTTATCAAGTAAAATTACTTTATAAATGTCTAATAACATTTTTGTTTAAATACTTCATATCTTGAATAAATAATCTGTTGATAGCACTTTAGGGTAAACACTACAATACTGTTTAAAGTGTCGAATATTTGAATTCATATAACATGAATAACGATAGACATCATCCATTTTCTAGATCAATCTATTATATATTTTAATGAAGCAATGAATGTAATGTTACAATTTATCGATTTATATTTTTTCATCTAGTTTTTGTTATATAACTTCCGTTATTGGTGAATATACAATAGCTATTGAATAAAGTAGCAATAATCATTGAGGAAAATCATTCGAAATAGAATTCACAATTGATATACTACGTGATAAAAAAAAACTCATTATTATTAATTTAAATTTATTTATTGAATTTTTTTGTTTGATTGATGTTAGTTCAGTTGAATTTATAAATACATCATTTGTATCACTCGAACATAAACGATTAATAAATAATACATACAGTCAAAGACAAAAGTTTAAACGAAAATGTATTTTTGATTTTTTCTATAATAACAAGCATCTAACTGAAATCCAAATAGTGACTCGGATAGCCAATGAAGAGCTCTATCAAATGCATCCTATACCAAAATTTCATAGATGATTTAATGTAGCAAGGTTTCTGGAAAGCCAAAAACCGTATTTTTCAGGTCTCAGAAGACTTTGCAATAATTCGTTTTTAACAGTACAAACTTAAAGAACACAAACTTCTGAACAAAATGAAGGGTCGCCGCCTTTTCTATGGCCTTCCTTTCAAAAGTTGTAAGCATCACAAAAATAAAAAAAATACGATTTTTAGCGATTTCTTGATATATTTCATTTTTTTCCCTGTTTTTGTGATGCTTATAACTTTTGAAAGGAAAGTCGTAGAAAAGGCGGCAACCCTTCATTTTGTTCAGAATTTTGTGTTCCTTAAGCTAGTACTGTTAAAAACGAATTATTCCAAAGTCTTCTGAGACCTGAGAGATACGGTTTTGAGTTTTCCAGAAACCTTGCTATCTCAAATCATCTATGAAATTTTGGTATAGGATGCATTTGATAGAGCTCTTCATCGGCTATCCGAATCACTATTTGGATTACAGTTAGATACTTGTTATTATAGAAAAAATCAAAAATACATTTTCGTTTAAACTTTTGTCTTTGACTGTAGATACATAAAATAGGGCGATTTCACACGTCGCATATTTTCGTTTCTTACCACATGAGCTGTAACAAAAATAATAATGTGAAAAGCTCCTGTTGTTTAATGTTTGCTTTGATGCAAATATATCGAAAAAAATATGCATCATAAGTGATTACATTAGGTTTACGTAATGATAATCCTTAAGAAGTGTCTGCATATCAAACGAGCTTGATATATGAACCTGATTGATAATAAACTGCTGAACTAGGAACGATGGAAAGTTACATACGGATGAACTGCTAGGTTATCGGGAATGTATCATTAATCGAATTGTTATCTTTATACAAAAATAAATTTTGCTATTTGATCATATTTTAAAAAATAATTGTTTTCTTTTTAAGATAGGTTTCAAAATTAAATATGTTTTTGTATATTATATGACATTTCTTTTTGATTTTATATATGAATGAATTTATGCTCAATTTTTTTTTCTTCGATTTCTTTCGTTAATTTAAGCAACGACAATATTAAAATAAGCTTAGATTCAGATAAATTAATAAAAAATAGATGGAGAATAAATGGAATATATAATATAAACGACAACAGCTGAAAGCAAAAACAGAAGCATGATAATATGTATTTATTCAATAAACAATGCATGAAAATAAGAAGAATGTAGATGAGGAAAGAAAATTATAGTTAGAAACTACTCTGTTTTATCTCAGTGAGTAGTACAGGTTTCTAGACAAAGTGTTTCTTTATTTGTCAATCGATTAAAGGAAGTCATGAGAAAATTTAAAGCGTTAGGTTAGAAACTATGAAACTCTATCGAAAAATAAAGTTTGAACATGTTTCAATGAGCAAAAAAAATATTCGAGATGGAAGTAAAATTTAAGGATATAGATGGTGTAGGTGCTGATCTCAGAAAATGGTGCCGTCAAGCAAAAGATAGTGGGACTAACGAGGGAATCTCTTCAGCTGTTCTCTTTCGATTTCATATAGATACTAAATAATATTCTAAGAGAATTTGAGTTCCTATTAATTCTTTTCTGAAATTTTGAACATTATTTGAGAACTCAACTATATCAACTTCTATAAAAAAGTTCAGAAGCTTTGAACAAAGTCTCTTGAAGATATAGACTTTTTTTCATGAATAGGGTATACAACATATATTTTTTGAAAGCTTCATATCTCGAAGAGAGTTTATTCAAAACTAGTCTAGTCGAGTTCATGGTATGCGCAAATTTTTAGATTAAAATTCGAAAAGACGAGTTTTCCGAAAACTTGAAGCCTCTATAGAACAAAATTCAAAAGCTTAGCAAAATTCTGCTTTAAATTTTCTGCTAACTTCCTAAATCGGTCAAAACAATGAAGAAACATTTTATTCAAAAGCTTTCGTACTACTCGTCAGTAGGAAAACCAGTTTTGTTAAAAGTGACACTTATTATGATTATCAATCTTGATAAAATCAATGATATTGAAAACATAATTTAATTCAATTGTAGCATGAATTGTTAATAAAGAATATAATACATTAAGACTTCTGATTCATCTCTTTCATAAAAGATTGTATAGAAATTATTTATACATAATTTCTATTCAACTTATCTATTTGATCTAATACATTGTTTGTATCATTCTTTTTCTATTTATAATTTAAATTACTTTTAAACATGAATAAAAAATAACAAATTGTTTTTTTTTTAAACATATAAAATAAAATATATCCTGAAAGTCATTTAATTATCACCATACCATCCACAACTAGAAGTTGTTAAATAACTATTCATAGACGAATTCCATGAAATAAGAGCAAGACCATGATGCCATTTTTCTATCCATTTAATTGTTTGTGTTTCATAATCAAAATATCCAACAATACCTCCTTTAAATGATGTTTTCCATTCAATTTCTTTTGTTAAAGGATTATAAACACCACCAATACCTGAATGAAAGGATGTTTGCCATTCAATTGTATCTATTGATGGATTATAAACTCCATGAACACCACCTTTATAAAATTTCTTCCATTCAACTATATTTAATTTCGGATTAAAAACTCCATAAACACCTGTTTGAAAACCATCTTCCCATTCAATAGTATGTGTAATTGGATTAAATACACCATGAATACCACCATGTCGATATTGTTTCCATTCTGTACGACCAGTTATTGGATTATATACAACTGCTATAGAACCATTCCAATGTGTACGCATTTCAATAGATAATGTTTCAAATGTTATTTCATTGAATAATTGAATAATTTTTGTTGATAAATATTTTCGTTGTTGATAAATTTGTTTAAATGGTATAACAAAAGAATTTCTATATTGTAAAGCTGTATGAGTAAATATACGTTTAAATATATTAAATTTATGATAATATGTTTCTTTAATATTTTCATATTTATATTTATCATCTTTTAAAGAATTATTAACATTAGTTTTTAATTGTTGTAATGATTCAAGAAGTATTTCTTGATGTTCTCGTCGAATAGTTTGATGTTGAAAATATAATTGTTGATAAGTATTAAATTGTAAATCAATTGACATTAATTAGAATATATTTATCAAATCTCAAATTATTTATTGATTGAAAAAAAAAACAAAGTCAAAACTTTATATGCATATAAGAGAAATCGAATAGTACAAACTTTAATTTACTAGACGGAAGAAAAGTTTGAAGTATCTTCGTCATAGATGTAACAAATGAACTGTTCTTTTTTCCTATTAATAAAAGAATGCTCATAAGTTATATCCGAGAGTAAGAAAATGAGGAAAACTATTGTTTTGAAATATTACTTTTGACATATGTGTATAGACTCATAATTATCAGAAATTTCGAACAAAAAAACCATTATGTCTATCTTATTGATTGTAAATAAATTTTGTATTATTGAAGTTATGAAATGAATTATTATGCAAAACATTGATTTTCTTCATAAATATAATCAACAACTGTAGATACACATATATTCATTGTAAAAGAAATAGTTTAAGAATGTATTTTTCTTACGAATATGAACGGTGAACATTCTTTAATTAACAGTTGATTCGATCGAAATATGATGCAGATACTCATGTTTTTCTTCCGTGCCGGAAACTAAATTTTAAGAACATTCTGTGTAAGTATGTGACAGAAAAGAAAAAAAAACAAGAAATAAATATGTAAATGCATTGAGACAGAGTTATTTAATCATTTATGTTTTTCTAGAAGAAACACAATACTCTGTTAAAGGAACACTTCCAGTTTCTTTGAATAGTTTTTTAAACAAAAAAAAAACAACCACATTTGTATAGAGGTCTCAATGGATTAATCTGCCTTGTCAAAAAAGATCAATACGAATAATAATCTAATTGTATTTTGAAAAATTGATCAAATTTAATTATACAAGAGAACATGCTCCCTCTAAGTAACAACAGATGTCTCATCGTTCCTTTGAAAAAGAAGACGAAGAGTTGATGAATCTCATTTGTCTTACAGACGACCAATCATGTGCATGTAGGAAGTGACATTACATTACATAAAATGCCTTCAACCATAACTAGAAAAATACGTGACGTTAGATGGCTGAATGGGGAAAAGGTGATCCTCGTTGGATTGTAGAAGATCGTCCAGATGGTAGGACAAAATAAAATAATATTTTTCTCACTATTTCAAACTATAATATCTAGCTACAAATCCAAATAATTGGCATTGGAAAGAAAAAAATGCTACACAATGGTCAAAAGATAAATTAAATGAATTATTAGTTGGACTTAAAATTGAAAATGATGAATATACTTGTGAAATAAAAGAATTAAAACGATGTTCCGGTGAAGCATCAGCTAATAATCGAAAAGCAAAACTTGTTTTTCTTGTAAGTAAAACATAAATGTATATATACGACTAACTTTTTTGTTTTCAATCATATATATGTTTTTTTTTTTTGTAGTATGAATGGCATATCGAAGGTAAATGGGAAGGATCAATGCATACAGGAGAAAATCGAACAACATATGAAGGTTCATTTGAAATACCAAATTTATCTGATGAAAATAATATTGATGAAGTTAATATAACATTTTATGCTGAAAAATCAAAAGGTGAAAAATTAAAAGAAATAATGAAAAAACACGGTGAATCATTAATACGACAAAAACTTGCTGATTATATTCGTTTACTTAAAGAAGAATTTTCTCAAGGACTTATTTTACCAACTAAAAATACTCTAATAACTACTAATACACAATCTATATCATCAATAAATAATTCCAAACCTATTATCCATACACAATTACCAATCAATCAAAATAAATCATCAATTATGACAATGCGTGATATAAAACTTCATGATACATTTAAATGTACAAAAAATGAATTATTTAAAGCATTTTGTGATATGAATAAAGTTAAAGCATTTACACAAAATAGTGTTTCACAATATGATTGTAGAAAAGGTGGATTTTTTTCATTATTTAGTGATAATATAACAGGACGTTTTATTGATATTGTACCTTATGATCGTATTGATATGTTATGGCGTTTTAAATCATGGCCTAGTGATCATTATTCACATGTTTCATTATTATTTTATGATGGTACTGATGAGACAAAACTTGTTATACAACAAACAGGTGTACCAAGTCAATTTTATGATAATACAGTGGTTTGTTGAAAAAAATTCTTTTTTATTTGAATAAATCATATTGTTTTGAAATATTTTAGGAAGGTTGGAAACGTTATTATTTAGAAAGTATTAAATCAACATTTGGTTATGGATCACGACTGCTTTAAATCTGTTTAGATTCGTTTGTTTTTTTCTTTGTATTGTCTATTTTTTTCATAAATAAATTCTCTAAAACCAAAACAATCAGTCATAGATAAGATTTTAAAATGTTTTTCTTACGGAAATATTTCGACTTTTGTCTTTTTGAGATAAATTTTTATTTTAGCATTAAAGTATAAAATGTAATAGAACTGATTTTTCAAATCAAAGTATGTTTCGTGATGAAAACAAGACATTTTAAGTAATAAGACATAAATCATGACAAATATACATATCGATCAAAGATTCTGCTTACTTTCTCAATAAACATTCATATTATAAAAAGTACACAATCTAAGGATAAAACAATAAGTTTCAAATAGTATAGGACTGGCTTCGCCTTTTCCCCAAAATGTCCGACTTTCTGCCATTTTTTTTACAGCTTTGTGGTAACTTTGGACAGCGACTAGATTTTCAAATATTATTTACCTTTCTCTGGCGAAAAGTAAAATAAAAATAAGTAGACAATGTTGTTACGAGGTGAATAGGGTTGGGAAGGGATGGCCTGGCAGCATATCGTCTGTTGCGAGAGGAATTGGGATAAAAAATTAGAGGTCGACAAGTTCAGTTTTAGTTTGCATCTAAATTACTGTTGAAAACATTCTCTGATCTGAACTAATCTATTCGTACAATTTTTAATCTATTGTTTAGAAGCATACTTTCGGATTTATTTAAGAAATTTTTTCGGACATCTCAGTTCCTATGAGAGGAAGTGTTCGAACAGTTCTTTCGCTCATTGCATATGAACTTTGAATAACAAATTGGTTGATCCCTATAAAACAAAACTCGTCAATCGAATTTGATGAAGAAACAGCGAACGAAGAGGATATTCAAGAAGTTTTTCAAAGATTTTATGGAACTGATGCTTTAGCGGATCACTCACATTCTAGACGTTCCATAGTATTGACATAAAAAAAGTTGATGATGACATTTACGTTACTAGGAAAAGTGTATTGGCATCATGTTTTCTAACTATTTGAAATAGTTCAAACTGATGAAGTTTCTTAGCATGTTGACAATAAAGTACATCAGTTTGTAGACAACACGTTTTCTAATATGTGAATTCAAAATGGCTGCTCTTTTTGATGAGCTACCTGCTCAGTGCACGCACCATCATGCAAATTTTTTCTATGGAAACTCATGAATAAAAAGCAATGTTTACAAGATGCTTACCAAAAATCAAATTGAATAAATAAGAGGAATCAGCAAGAAAAATACGATAGTATCAATAAATATTCTATTTAATATTTCATTTTTTGAAAAACTCTAAAACGGTGGAGGTGTGAATATCGACTCATTGTGGTCACTTTGAACAGCGGACAGAAATACACATATACGAAACAAAACTTTAAAGTATATCAAATAAAAAGAAGTAACTCAGATGTATTACTTGAATTGTTCAAAAGTTATTCATGTTTGTTGTTTTCGATAGGTTCTTGAAACACCTTACATGTCTTGTACATCTAAATAATGTGTAGTTTAGTCTTCATAGTTGATAATGAATACTAAATACATGTCGTACATTCTAGAATAGTCTTCTTTTCGGATCACGATTAGAAACAGATAAAACAAGAAAGTATTGTGCACTACTCTTGTATGAAGATCGATTCAGGTCAAACAGTCCAACTAGAAGATCTTGTACGATTATTGCAAGATCATATACGATTGCACGAAACTCGTATACGATGCTGTAGGATTTTATATGCCAATCTTAAAGCCTCTACCCAGGTCAAACAATCAGACAGTAAGATCTTATAAGATTGTACCTCTGATCTTGTACGATCTTTCACGAATCTAATAGTATGATCTGATGCAAGATTTAGTAGACGATGATTTTTTGTCAGATTCTTATAAGATTTCGTCCAATTTGCAAGATCTTACGTCAGATTTTCCGACCTGGAAGCATTTCTGATAATATTGCACTGTACGATTCTTGTATGATCTTTATGTCAGATAGTACAAGGTCTTAAATGATTCATGCATGATTTTCCAGAGCTTCATAAAGCATTATATAGCTGATTTGACCCATTTCTGACTTCTATAAGGCTTGAGGTTTTCAACATTGTATTTGATCTATAATAATGCATATATATATATATATATATTGATAAAAATTACAAAAAAAACAAAAAAGATATAAATATTCACTTGTAATGCATAAGTAAAAAACAAAATCGTAGTAAAAATTTTTTTTTTGAGCTTAACCGACTGAATGATCTAAATAAAAAATAATAATTTCAATCAAAAAAAGATTCACTTATATTAAGTACCTTATTGATATGAGCTGAAATAAAAAATAAATAAATAATTCCAATTACAAAACTAGTTACGGCGATGTAATTCAAGCGTAAAAACTGATCTAAAAGGAAGAAATAAGTATTATTTAAATAAAAAAAAACCTATTTCTAAATTAAATTGTCACATAGTATTTTAATCGTAAATAAATAACTCTATTAGCACTGATTTTACTTTAATGAAAATAAAAGAGTAACTCACTTCATGATACTACAACTAAAAGGATGCTAACAGATTAAATCATTTTGTTTTAAAATAAAATAAAGAGAATAATTTTATCAGATTAAATTTATTTTAATTAAAAATAAAATAAAATAAATATAGTTCCATTCAATTCATTTCATTTTATATTTGTTGTAAACATATGATCCTTTTAGATTAATTTTAATCAACTGAACTAAATTATAATATTTATAATAAATGGAATTAGTTTTATTTCACATCATTTAAACTAGATTTTAAAAAAACTATATCATTAATTTGAGTCAAAATAAATCAAAAAAAAATAAAGAATAGTAATCGACAAACTACAAAAACAATTAATTAAGTTTGATAAGATTGTCTAGTGTCTAAAACATAGAACTGAATTAATTTAGTGTTACAAATGAATATAAAAGCATTTTTACCTCTATTTTGAAAAATGATACAATATACATTCTTCTTAAACCAATTAAAACTTAAAATCAATTGATAACGGTTCATCCTTCTTGATATAGTCTATTGTAACCATGATTGAATTATGAATTCTCTACGTTGGAGAGTTATAGATCGGAAGTGTTATACAAAAAAAATCTTTTTTTAATTCGAAACAACGTGATGTTTAAATTAGACTATTTTCGATCTATTAAATATTTATTTTAAATACATAAAACTATCATTATAGGGATTGATAGCATTAGAAAAACCTAAAAGTATGATCTTATAAAATCTTATAAGATTCGGGTCCTCAAATTTTCCAAGAATCTTATAGTAAGAATCGTGTAAGATTTACACTAGCATCTTACAGTAAGAAGCATACTAAATCTTAAAATAAGATATTTCTACGGTTTCGTAAGATCATACAGTATGAATTTTACGACATCGAATTGTTGGTGAGAACTTGTACGATCTTCGTTAGATTTTTCCACTTGGGTAAATAAAAAGGTGATATTCTTGATCAGCTCGATGAGCTCTATCGAATGATGTATGATTAAAGATAATCTTTTTTTTGCTTCTCTTTTGCCTTTGATGCACCTTATATTCTATTGTTATTTAATTTTCGACTCAGTTGATTGCTGAAAAGGAAGAATTGAAAATAACAGATTGAATTTGTTTTCTTCATCAAGAGAATAGGTCGATCTGTTTTCAATCGATTTATTAAATCATGAAAAGTAAATAATTTATATTTATTCTGAAATATGAATGGTAAAAAAAAACATTTTATTTATTTCAAATTTAAACTACTGATAATTTAATTTATTAGTAAATTAAACGAAAAGTAAATATTAATTGAGACTCCTAGACAGTAGTCAACGCTGAAATTTTCAAGGCGATAAACAATGCTCTATAAAAGTTAAGATTTCTGTAATGAGCGATAATAAGATATGTAAGAAAAGATTATTCATGCAAAAGTGGGTTCAGCAGAAAGTATTTGAATTTGTACTGTAAGATCAGCAATTTTGGAAGCGCTGAGATATGATGACGAGTCGAGATTATCGGCATTTTGTATTGATTTTTGATGAAACTTGGCTCAATAGAATATATTGCTAATTATTTTGACATAGGTCAAACGAGAACCATGTTGGTGTATAAAAAAAAATGTTAGCTTCAAAGTACATAAAATAAACTGCACAAAGATTTTTTTCACCTGAGTGAATAAATAACTATCACATGCTATTGCATGTTTGTCGTATTATAATGTGCATGACCATTTTTTTTTCATTCTTTTGTTTTATTTGTCTATGTATAACGCAGAGCCAGTAGTATAAACATTATACATGATTGAATAGTAGATTAGTAGCTTACAATAACGGACGTCGTTTTAAAACATACGCATGGGCAATAAACAACAACAACAGTGAGCAAAAAAATACCTGACATTACTTTAAGTCTACAAAAGGATACATTTAAAAAAGTGAATTGCTATGTAACATATTGAGAAAAAATTATGCAGAACTACTCTGTTTGTATTAGATAGATTCTAGAGAAACTCAGTTGTTCGTCATAAATCAAAATTATCAAGAATTGAATGAATGATGCTGAGTTTATGATGAAAAAGATTCGTTGCCCACGATTATCATAGATATTCAGTGTTGTTCTTAGAGATTCAAACAAAGTTTGTTTACGATGTGCATAATTTATTAGAATAAATAGATTATGAAAATATATAAATAAATGAAACGAGAATATAGTTTAAAATATGACAAGAAAAAACTAACTAAATATGAAAAAAAACCAAAAAACTAACTAAATGTGGAAAAAAACAAAAAGCTAACTATGGAATAAAATACGTTGATGTTGGTAAACAATGATGACAACGTTCGATTTTCGACGTGAATTTGTATTGTTGGAATATATCCTACAAAGAAAAAACTACTGGATTGCTTCAATACCAGATAATACTGAAAACGATGTTGTTAAAGAGAGATATGTTTACAATGTAATAAATATCAGAACATTGTCTCAATGAATTATT